ATGAGAGATTAATAATATGTAACATAGCAATGATTTGATAGGCTCCTTTGCCTGCAGCTACCACTGTCATCAATCACCTTCATGCCTCACATGATACTGCTCACCCTGTTTGTTCCAATCTGGCTCACAATTGTCCTCCTTGTTCTCACTGAGCTTGTCTCCTTCCCCATGCCCATCTCCAATATCCATCATGCAGGAGAATCCATCTGTGGTTGTCTGTACTTGCCACTCATATACTTTGCAGGACTCTTCAAAGTATCCATCTTTGTCTTCTGCTTTGGGATATCCATCCCTCTCTGACTGCCAAACAGTACACACCCAGCTGGTATTGATTAGCACCCCATTGTCAGGGCACCAGCTCATTGCTTGGTCAAGAGACATGACTAAGCCTTTATGACATGGAAGTAGCTGGTATACCTTGGCATGTGCTGGAACCTGCTGGAAGGATTGGATGGTCAGGTGACCTGCTGTGCATGGCTGTGCATGACCTCATATGACCTCATCCTTGGTCATATGACCTGATCACCTGACTAGGCTGAGTAAGCAAGATGTTCTAGCAGGTTCCACCACAGAGGTATAAATATAAGGCCTACTCTGCCTGGGGACTGTCTCTTCAGACTTGGTCTCTTAGGATCATCCACAGGTACCTATACTGTAGATAGGTCTTAGTCATCAGGTCTACTCCACTTCCTTGTTGCCTGCTTAGACTCTTGGCACTCTTAGGTGAGCAGACTTAGTCAGCCTGTGTTGCCCTAACATGTTGTCCCTCTATAGGGGGACAATGTTTTGGACATATTCCTATATGCCCATAACCCTCATGCCATGTTGAGTCCTCTCTCAGACTCAATGGCACAAGTAAACAATGTATCAAATGTCTCGTTATTGATGTCATAACCCGACTCAAGCACTTTGGTGCTTATCTCTTTGTTCAATCCAAAGAGGAACCTCCTTTTAATTTGGAAGTTGTTAGGATGCTCATGCATCCTACCCATTATGGACATTAATTTGTCCTTATACACTTCAACATTGTCTTGTCCTTGTGACAAGCTGTCAAAAGCACCATATGCTTTCAATGTTTCTTCCACTGAGAAGAAGCAATTATATAATCCCCAGATCATCTGGCAAAACATCCATTGATCTCTAGGTATTTTACCTAGATCAATGTTCTGCTCTACCCAATGGTGAGCTTCCTTGGTCACATGTTGACTGGTATAAGTGATTTGCCAATCACTAAAGTCAGGCCTGGTCATTCTGGCCATGCAAAATGCATGTACCAGCATCACAAGAAATTCTATGAATTTCTCTATGTCTGCTTCACCTCATAGGAGGTTTCCAAAGCCTTAGGCTTCAATCCCATCTTAGAAGACAGAATATGATTATTTACAGGTGTCCTAGATGTCTGTAACCATCTGTCTACCCTCCACATAGGAGTGGTAGGAATTGTCAATCCTCCTAGGAGATTGTCTTTGCTCCTAAACATAGGAGTGCTGTAAGGTCCATGAGTAGTGGACCTTTGGTTCAAACACATGGAACTGTCAGGGAGGTCCCCAAATGGGAACTTTGGTGTGTATGGACCCTCTTGGTCCAAATCAAAATGAATGTTTGGAGAGGGCTCTTTCCTTGTCTCCATACTGGGAGGGGTGGGAGGGACTTGTAGCGGAGTCTCTTCAAACTCTGTAGCATCCTTTAAGGATACTCCTTCAGGATCTGCTTTGGATCCTTCTTCCCCAGAAGGGATTTGCAAATGTGGCGAGTTAGGCAATGTTTGCAATCCCATCCCAGATTGGGAGAGACTTGGTTGTGGCCCAAAGCCATAGGCCACATCTTCCATCCAGAGATTCAACATCTCCCAAGCCATTTCCGCATACCTCTGTAGGCATTCTGGGTTCTGGCTAGCCATAGCCAGAGTATTTAGCTCCGCAATCAAGTGTTGTGAAGAGTCTGTGATGTCAAGCATCCAACTCAAATCTGCATGGGGGTCTAATTGATCCCCTGTTTCAATCAGACCAGTTATGATCTGACTATTGCTTCTATTTGAAGCACCATTGGCCAAGGAATCCTTGTCCAATAGCATATTGGAATCCTCAGTTTCCATTCTCTCTCTATGATCAGGAGCAGCAAGATCAGTACTTTGATCTCCTCACACAGGTTCCTGTTGCCCAGAAACCCATTCCAAACTGTTTCTGAGTCCAGAAAAGCTCAAAGAGCCTGGTAAGGTTGTGGGAGTATCCACAACTCCAGGTCCTGAGCCACCTTCAGGACCAACCTCAGTCTTTCTACTGGGCAGAAGGTGTCCCACCATTTTTTTAGCTGGTCTCTGTAATACAGAGACTAGAACCTGACACGGAGCATTTCTCGCTCTATTCCTATATAAACTCCACTTGTTGGAGAAGTGTAAAAAAGTGAAAGGGCTTAAGGTGCCCTTACACCCTTGATATGTACACTGATCAATAGTATTACTAAGTAGTAGTAATACATGAGTGTAGTAACAAGAGATAGAGAGAAGGGTGGCCTACAGCCACCCACTACATGTCAGTCCTCTGGACAATCATGATCGCCTCACAGAGGCGATCCTACCTATAAAGGAAAGCATGGGGTTGTATACGGACCCTTACAGGTATACGTTTACCCGAGCCAACCCCTTGGTACTTCAGGTATGGGGCCAAGCACCGATAAACTCTATCGGTCAAAGCCTGAAGCAACTCAACCCAGTGTAGATTGCCGATGGGGGATCGCCAACATGTCAATCCCCGCGAAACACGAAACCCCGTCACACGAGCTTCATGAGCTTAGGTCACACGCGATCTTCCCGCATTAACACTCTCTGCGTGGGATCTGGGATCTGTGGGGAATTTCAGTCGAAACGCTCGATGCATGAATGAGAGGATCCCGTTCTGTGGCTCTGACTGAGGCCGAGTGTTTCGTGGTCCAGTGTCCAGTGCACTAGTACTGGACTTGACAACTGCCGGATACCGACTCTCTTCCCCAAGTCCCGATATCCCGATCCAGTACACATCCACTGGAATGATACCGTATCATTTTTTCCAGCCAGAGCAGGAAACCGAACGACCCAAAACCCACAGCTCGATCTCGACTCTCTTAGATAGGCAAGGAATGCCGTCCTGAGGTCGAGGTCGAGAAATATCAATCGATCCCGAGCGTCGCTGGTCGACCAGCTAGCCGCCAAGATATAGGCTTTCAAAGAATCGCACAGACTGGGTCCGTACTGCCGATAGCTGTCATCTCCAGCAGCGAATGACGATCCTCTCCGTGCGTAGCGAGAGCCACAGCCGGGTCGTACGAGGGAGAGCAGCCGCCGAGCGAAGAAGATCCCGTCTGAATCGAACCTTCGCCCGTGGTTAAGTTAGGCTCGGCTGACAACATCCTGCAACTGAGAGGAAAGACTGGTTGGAGACAACGTACGACGCAGCAAGCGAACCCGCTCGTTCGTTCGTCACGGGACCGGCAACGGTAGCGTGGAAGATCTAGCGCACGAGGTCGCACGAGCAAGAGCACATGCCGAGTGAAGAAGATCCAGTGTGAATCGAAACTGTGTGTGGTTTGGAGTTGGGCTTGCCCCTCAGTGTCCTGGAACTAGGCAAAGACTAGCTGGAGACACTAGTACTGTACGAGACAACAAGCGAACGCCTCCGTGCGTTCGTTCGTCCCGCATGTCATGAGCTCACGCGACACGATAGAAAACAGCCTTTCCCAGGCCGGGTCATTTCCGACCAAATCGACACGAGACCGAGGCTGACGAATCCCCACCGTCAAACATGGTTATCAGGAGTCTCGCTCCCTATCTCTCCCATTCATGTCTGCCCCCCACGAGGCAAGGCTGACGAATCGTTACCGGCAAACGCGGCTTTCAGGGATACGGTACCTCGCGTTCTCCGCTTCTTGGCTCTGGTTCCCGAGGAGGGAAGGCGGGCGCATAATGAAGCATAATGAAGCTCAGGGCAAGAGACATTTTGTCCCAATCCGACACCCCTGGGGCCTCATAGGCTGCTTTGGGACGATGTGCATATACAGTATGCACTACCCCACCACGGCGCGCAGGCAGGAGTTTGGGGATAAGGTGCCGAGCAAAACCCTCAAGAACGAGATCGGGATCGGCATGGCGTGTTCCCATTGTTCCCCAGGTCTCGTCTATGAATCCGTCCGCCTGGAGTACATTCCATCAGACGGTGTCGATCTTCGGTACACAGGCGGCGTCCTACCACTTCTTGCGCGACACAGCCAGCAGCTGGTGCGCTGCCAATTCCGGCAAGCGTGGCTCGGACTACCGTGGTCAGCTTCATCCATATGATCGGTTTTCCGCGGTGCTGGTACCCTGAGGTATTTGGGGATGCTTCGACACTTTGCTAGGTGGTTGGAAACCCTTGGTCCTGGTTCGCTTGCGCCAAACAGCCTGCTGAATGATAACGACCTGTGGAGCTCGGAGACGACGCCACACCGTAGTCGGCAGTGACGGCCAATGCAGCGGTATCGCTGGTAGACACAAGTGCGTATCAGATTCTCCGCCATACCGCCGCTTTGCGCTCGCATCGTTTTGGTTGCCATTCTACATCCCGATATGCTACTACACTTCTCGCACGCCACAGCCTGCGCCATTTCCTTTGTTCAGGAATACTTCGACCTCCCCGAGCGTGCGCCCGTCTCCGTTCGAATCGCACACTTCGTACGCAGCAACAGCGTTCCGACGCAGCGGGCTTCCTCTCTCCTCGTCAGTTTCACTCTTTCCATCTCCTGTATCCCGGAACATCGCACCCTCTGCGAGTCTTATCATGGTCATTTCGGGATAGCAATCCACGGCCCCCCCCGATCCCGCCCAAGCGATCCACCGTATCTCTCAGAGTTCATTTCCTGACTCACTTTGGCGGGACGTACTGTGCTCAAACTGCCCGCTCGCTTGAAGAACAGGGTACCTTCCCTTCAGGGGCAAAGCATCCCCGCCGCACGGAACTGGCCTTGACAGCGGACCGATGACGCCTGATGTCAACCTCGCGCATGTCTCCCTCACCCTTCCCACGCGGCCTTGTACCTCCAGCATTCATGCATCTTTCCTTCACCCTTCCTTTTCTAGATCGAAAGAGGTCGCAGAAGCGCGGTGCGCGGCTAAAGAATTGCGCCTGGGGCAGACTACCTCGTGCTGGAAGAAAAAGAGGGCGCGGGAAGCTTGAGTTGCACCGGTTGAGCTGTATGTTGGGTAATAATGACATATCTTTCCAATTTGGGACAACGCTGATAGGGTGCACAGGGTCGCCAGCAGAACGGCTGAAGACACTTTGCTGGCAATTTGGCGCCGGAATTCGAGGCATACATAACACCGTAGACGCAACAGGTGTGCGCCTGCGGTGGAACATGGTTTAAGGAAAAGGACGACTTTATTTTGCGAGCAAAGTGGACGTTGGGCTCAGAATAAGAAGCTTTCCTTTTTTGGTGCGCATCCTGAGTTTCTTCTCAAAGGAAATCGCTTTGACCCGTGTTTGTCCTTGTTGTCCCACCTTGTTTCAGCCCTCTTTCACTTCGTGATCCCGTTGCGTCGTCACCCCAGTGAGGGTACAAAGTCAAATGTTTCGAAGACACCAACTCACTCACCATAGGGTACGTCCGGTTCTCGGCTAGAGCAGGGATGTTAGTCCATTTTCCTCCTCTCCGTAATCCCTTGTTCGAGATTGAATACCACAGGGTCAGAGGGTCTATATTATCAATAACCAGGACGGACCCGCCAGTTTTTTCCGGCAAACTCCAACTCACAGTAGACCTTTTGCACGTTGTCCCCTGCTTCTGTGGGTTCGGATGCCCCGATGACGTGCTTCTCCCGCATCTTCTCAGCACACCCACATCGCATTTAGTCGCTCTTGGTCAATGAATCAGCCGAGACACATCTATCACAGGAACCCTGCGGTCGCCTGGCTATTCTCTATGCATCCTGCACGAGAAGAATGCGGCGCGGGAGGCAACTCCTTTCCCAGCAAACTGACATAGTGTCGGCACGCAGCCAAGTGTCCTTGACCAACCCTCGCGCTCCTATCCGTCCCGGTCCCGGTCCTGATGCCGATGCCGTTCCTTCTATCGATGTATACCACGGCGATAAAGCAGAACACACCACTGCCGGGTTCCTGGGTCGTCTGTCAGCACTAATGGCCGCCTCTTCATGACTAGGATGGTCAAGTCATTTGACTTCCTGCTGGAGGAATGCGGCCTCCATCAATGTCGGCTTTCCGGGAGGCAGATCCGGTCTTCTTACAAGGTTACTGGCCCCTTTCATCCCTTTTTGGGAGTCACCTGTTGGTGCAGAATTGGATACAAATACCGAGCCTGAGCTGCGGGTCTGTCCTCCCCACTGCACTACGCTACACTTCAGCCCTCTCCGAAACCGAAAACCAACCTCCCGAAACATGTACACTTCTCAAGCTGCGATATGCAAGCGCTTTGTGACATATTGATTCAACAACTGCTAAAGATCATTGTTCTAGACGCGAACAACCCTCCACCGGATTATAACACTGGGTTTGTCGATCTCAACAAGACTACCCTGCATCACAGTGAGTCACAGCACCCAACTGAGCACCCTGCCCGCCATCTCAGTACCTGCAGATGAAGCAGAATATCTGTATCAGCTCCTTATGGCCACCGATCCTGGCATGTTTGTTCTGTTCTTTGGAACACAGAACGGAATGTATATCCTCGAGCGCGACGTTGAAAGGTTTGAAGACTGGACCGTCGCATACGGCACTCTCGGCACTGCCCAACAGGCACGGTGGTATGTCGTCCTGATTCGCAACCTGTGGCCGCAGGGACCCCGTGTGGCCGCCCGGGTGATGTTCGAGAACAACGACATTCCGTACAGCGGCGACGAGATGCGCCGCGCGATGCTCATGTCCATACGCAATGCGGGCGTGGCGGTCCAGCTCCGGACCGTGATTACCGTTCGGCCTGCCCCGGACCATGGTTATTTTTGATCCATATCTCGGATATCTCCATGTGTATTTCTTCCGTCGCCTGGAGCTGGCGTTACACCACTCTTCCCTTTCCCTTTCGCCATTCCTGAAATAGGTAGATAGTAAGAAACTGGACAGATAGCAAGGCAGCTTATAAATTATGGCATGATGCGAAATCAACCAGATAGGCTTGATCCCCAATAGTGCTGTACGACATCAGGTAGAAAACGGGGCAATCGGGGCAACCATATTTAGGTGTTGCGCCGCATGCGAAGCGCCTGGAGAAGGACCATGGGCGTGGAACGAGGGCACAACACACAGAAGTCGGCGGACGAGGCGAAGAGAAGCAACAGAAGACCGGACCCTTCTGACTTCACTTTGATCTACTGATTCAGTACACGTTGTTTCTGTTTCTGGAGATAGGAGGAGAACCGTTGCGCCGTTTTGTTCCCCGCCACGGTTCCCGCGGGGGATGAAATATTGTGAGTATGCCGAGTCGGCAGAGAGCCGGAACAGTGGTAAGAGCACGAGGAGAGAAAGAGAAACCTGCGAAGAAAAGAAAAGGGTTAGATGTAAGATCAGCTAGATTCCGACAGGGGATCGCCCTGGACGAGATTCGACCCTGAATGGGCTCCTTCTGGCGGCAAAAATTGCGCAGTCACCCGATGAACCAGATGGAATGCCGGCAAGCAGATTTTTTCGACAGGAAAGGGCCTTGGAGCTTGGTCAACGTGCACCATGCACAGTTCCTGCACGTTCGTGCATGACGGTGATGGGAGGAAGTCGGTACTTATCCGGTGCGAATCAATGCCAAGTATCCGGCATAACATCGTGCCTGCAGAAGGAATACGGGGTCAGGTGAGCAGATTGACGCATATTCTTCCCGTATCACAGAAGATCTGTCAATCTGCGGCGAAATAGGAAGCTCATGCTTCTCGGTCATCGTGGTCGCTGATAACGATTTCAATGGGCACCACAGTATCCAGCTCGGCGAATAGGATCAACATGACGCGATTTTAGAGTAAGATACGTAACTCCAAGCACAAGGATGGCAGGAAACGACCAAGCAATTCGCGGAGTTCGAACGAAGTTAAACTGTCCATGCCAGAGGAGAAGGTTGCATCGTATGTGCAATCTCGAGAGTGTAATGCGAGCAGCGAGACGCAAATATGTACCCTGCAGACCGTTGTGGAAGACGAACCTAAACGAGCATGCTTTCGCCAGTAACGCCTGCCTAGGCGCCATTCGCCTCGTCTGCCGCCGCAACGTTGCGCATCGCTGTCTTCAGGTCAGCATCTATTGTCGGCGGTCCGTATAGTTCTTTGATAATGTCGTTGACGATCTCCTTTGCTTGGAACAGAAGCTGCTGACCGCTCTGGTGTACTGTTTGTGCCGTTGATGATCTGTGCGCCATGAGGATGAGGGAATGCGCGTATTAGTTGGGCCCGTGTCGAAAAGAGCATAGGGCGGAAGGGCGGCGCTGAGTGCGGATATATACCCAGGAGAACAAGCAACCCGTTGTTGCAGACGGATAGGTACATATCGTTATCTAGAAAGAGTCAGACCTGGTTCATGAATGGACGGAAATAGCAGCGCCGATAGTTGCACGGCATAATCCGAAGATGGGCCGAACCTGAGATTAGAGCGTGGTGACTGGGCGCTTCTGATGGAGACGGAGACACGTGATCGAGCGCGACGTGGGCAAAACGCGACAGACATTGCTTGTTTTCATCTCTGTATTAGAAGAAATAGTGTGCGATTACAATAGAGTACATATGACCACAAAGGCACAAGGAGGGAGGGAAAACGATATCTACTGGCCGAAACCGTAGAGTGTGCGACCCGAGCGCTTGAGGGCGTAGACAACGTCGAGGGCGGTGACGGTCTTCCTCTTTGCGTGCTCGCAGTAGGTGACTGAGTCACGGATGACGTCTGAGGTAGCAATCAGCATTGAAGTTTGCAGACCACAGGAAGTGAACTCACTCTCGAGGAAGATCTTCAGAACACCACGGGTCTCCTCGTAAATGAGGCCGGAGATACGCTTAACACCACCACGACGGGCGAGACGGCGAATTGCGGGCTTGGTGATACCCTGGATGTTGTCGCGAAGGATCTTGCGATGACGCTTAGCACCACCCTTGCCCTGTGAGAGTCGCATCAGTTCATTGCGCATATAGCTAGTGAAGTGGAAGAGGACGTACGAGGCCCTTGCCACCTTTGCCGCGTCCAGACATGTTGCTTAAGTGTTGAAAGGGGTGGGGGAAAGTGGGAAGGTTTCGCTGGTGGTTGTTGTCGTAGAAGGGGCTGAAGCCGGCTGAAGAAGCTAGCATGTTACGACCGGGGTTTATATATCTGGACACGGGGCCGGAGGCTGATTGGGAAGCACAATCACGAGATTGATTGTTTTTGATCACGTGTCGTAAATGAAACGACGCGTAAGGGTTTCAGGACCCACTGGGGGTTGCCTCCGAATTATGCCCCTTCCATCGAACTTTCTCCTGAACGACCGATTGCTCAAGCCAGAGACTGAAATTGGCTTGTTGTGGTCCTCCTTTTATCTTTTTTTTTCTTATCTTCTATTTCATGTCGATGCGCTATGGAAGGGCATCATCTTCATTCCAGAGCTACATGCAGTGGGATGCGACTGACAGGTTCCCTTGTGGTCAGACAGGAGGTCTACGATCTCTACGCGTGCGGGATGATGAGACTAGAGACACGCGCCGTGTCTGGCATGACGTGCATCCTGTAGAACTGTGTATCAGTGTGACTGGCTTTTCGGCGTGGCATAGTTCGCCGTTGTCTTGTTGATTTTACGTTCGCATGTATGCATTTCACTAACGAGGTATCATTGCGCAATAAAACGGTAACTCTATGCTGCTTTTGCCTCACCCAGGCGACCTCTATATACGAATGGGGAAAGGAAACGAAAACGTGGGTTTGTGCGTCATTAAGGATACATATTAGGACCGGAATGGAAAAGTCCGTTCTATGCTAGGGCGTGCTTGCTAGCTGGGGAAGAGTATGAAGGGGGACCTACGGAAAGCACTCAGCAACGCTGTCATGCAATACCGCAGGCGTGTGGCAACGTACCGGATTCGCCGGACTGGAGCTCAGCCAACAGGGATGCCCTCATCTCACCCGTCATGGTGTGCAGAACTGCGATGAGACCGCTGAATGCGCCGGTCGGGTTGGTGGCAGACAGCACCTTGATCTGTCTCGCCACGGCTAGCTGTTGAACCTTCTCAACCGTTTGCGCGAGATCGACCTTCGCAAGGGCTTCAGCGAGCTGGCGGTTATCGGAGAAGTTCAGATCAGGATGCGCCGTTAACAGCATTGCTTCACAACTCTGCTCCGTCATCTCGGAGTCGACCGCCTGGAACTGCTCATACGCCTCAGCGAGTGCCAGGCGTGCCCGCAGCCTCCAGTAGAAGAAGCGACGGGCATTCTTCCACTCCAATGGCTCCGCACAGTCCTTGGCTTGCATGCGTCCAGCACGGCTGTCATCCTGTTAGCCGACTTTGTATAAAAACGTCGAAGGGTGGCTGCTTACTCATGGAGATCAGCGTAGAGGAGAGCGATCTGCCTATACGTTGGTGTGAGTTCCTGCTCCCGCACAGACAGCTGATCTTTCGCGGTTGCGCGCTCGTCGGCACTCTTTGTCGAATCCTTGCTCAGTGATGCAAGCCTTGCGTACTCGGGATCAAGACGCTGCATGAGAGCCAGAAGCTTGTCTCTGCGGAACTTGATCTCAACGATACCTTCCGGCTCTGCGTAATGATGAGTCAGACCTGCTCGAGGCATAGGTCAACAACATGAACGTACCAAGCACACCACCACGAGAATCAACATCGGCGAACATCTCCATGTGGCCAGGGTTAATGGAAGGATCGAGCACAACCCAAGCACCGCCACGTAATTCACCGTTGGGCATGATATAGACGAAGACAGGTTTCGTGTATGCTGACAAGCCGTCGACGATCTTGGCGCCTTGCTTGAGGATCTCATCGTACATGTCTTGCTGGCCACCGGAGAAGCCACGCCAATTGGCAAAGATGATAAGTGGTAGCCCCTCGCGGTGGAAGTCGAAGATCGCCTGTGCGGTTTTGTAGGCGGAATTGGGATACCATACCTGCCCAGCCTCCATGATTCTTTGCTCGAAGGAAGCAGGGTTGGCTGGGTCAGCAGGGATGACACGTTCGATGGTCCGAGTCTCCACGGCGATCACTGCCATGGGCAGTCCACCCAACCTGGCACGACCAGTAATGACAGTCTGCGCCCACCCGCCCAAGGTTTCTTGGAATGAGCCATCGTCGAAGAACCCATGAAGCCATTCAGAACTACCATTGATCTCCTCAGTCTTGCCAGCAAGGAACCAGCGAGGATCATAAGGGCCCTTGGGCGGGTAATAGCCGATGTCACGATCCCAGCTATCGGTTGTCGGCCTGATGGGGAGCGGCAAGCCCCTCGCCTCGGGCACATACGACATCCACTCCAGAATCTGTTGAACACCCTCAAGATCATTGTTTGCAGTCAAATGGGAGACGCCGTTCTTGTACATGATCTGGGTGCCACCGAGCTGGAGATTCGAGGTGTAGACCTCGCGGCCAAGAACCTTGTTCAATGCGGCCGAGCCAGTCAAGATGATCGGGTGACCTTCGACTTGAACGGAACGCTCACCAAGGCGAACAAGGTAAGCGCCGATACCGACAGAGCGTGCGGATACAAGGGTGATGGTGAAGATATCGTCGTAAGCACGGGAAGTGGCACCAGCGATCAGACCCGAACCCTTCAAGCATTCAACACCCAGACCCTCCTGCAGACCAATGATGTCGGTGATCTTATGTCTGACCTCGCCCTCCTCTTCGATCTGAATGGTGCGTAGGCTACTAGCGCCCTTCTCGTTCAACTTGCTGAGATTCTCCGGCGTCAAATAGAGGTACTTGAACCCCTTGTCCGGCTGATTCGGATTGTTCCAGGCAACAGAGAATAGGCCAACAGCCTCCTCTGCCAGGCCCATGCGAGCACCGGAGTTGGCGGAGAGGTAGATGCGAGGTAGACCCAACCCCCGAGCAAGATCCGTGACAGCATTGAAATACTCATCCTCCTTGGGTCCGAACGAGCCAATTTTGAACGTGATATCGTTGGAGACGACTACCACACGACGGCCTTGCGGGTATTCGGGCGTCTTGAGAGTGAAGATCCAGGCGACCATACCGCAGACATTGCTGCCTGGCGGACGCGCGATGGGCTGCAGCTCACCGTTTTCATCCATCACTAGCTCCTTAGAGTCAAGGACATCCTTGGGGGCAATAATAGCGGGGTTCAGCTTATTTGCCTTCGCCCACACCTGCTTGAGCGCCTGGCGGAACAAATCGGGATAGTCGTACACATACGTCGTGCCGACCAAGTGAGCCTGGTAGCGACGAGGCTGGAGGGACTCTTTGGTGGTGTAAGGGGTCTTCACTGGCTGCAGGTGGAGAGGACCAATTTGGCCGATGGACTTGAGGATGGTAGCACCGCTCTCGCTGGGCACCTCCTGGTACGAGTGATATTCGACAACGAAGCCAGTGGTGTTCTCGATGACCGCACGGATAGGCATGACATTCCCTTCCTCGTCCTCGAGGACAATGCGAATCTCTGCACCAATGACACGGAGACGCCACAAGCGCTTGCCATGACGCTCAATGAAGCCGGCCAATGCCTCCTCAACCTCTTCGAAAGTGACGTGCAGGTTGTACACAAAGTTGATTGCAATGTGGTTGCAATCAGTGTTTCGATACTGCGGCTGGACGATCTCAAGCGAATCGAGAATAGCACCAACAAGACGGTCTGTCTCGGAGATGAGGTACTCGCGAGTCCTCATGGGTCCGCGTAAGCGGCCAGGACGGACAAGGGCGCGAACGAAGAAGCGCGTATCGAGCTGATTCTCGCGAGCAACAGCATGGTAGATGTGAATCTGCCTGTTCTCCACGAAGCACGGGGTGAGCTTGAAGTTGGACAGACGGTTAAGCTCGAGCTGGTACGCCAGAGCAGGCTCAACGTTACGAATTGCTTCGTCTTCCTCCCACTCGGCGTCCTTATAGCGCAAGGTATAGAACCAAGGGTAAATACCCTTCCTGCAGATGAGGAATGTGACACGACGGATACCATGGGACGCGATGAGGCCCTTGTTGTCGTTGGTTATCTTCAGAAAGGCCGCTCTCCACTGGTCATCGGGCATATCATCCACTTCGTGGAAGATACGAAGAGCAACATAGAGCACGCTTTCCTGGTTGTTGTTGCCAGCGGGAGTGACCGGCAGCAACTCAGCGGCCTTGTGGAAGCCACGCTCGGCAGCAGAAAGGCTCCCAAACGAAGCGATCGTGCCGTAACGGATGGGCTCGCTCTGGCTCTTGTGGAGAAGGAAGGAGAAGTCGCTCAGGGAGCCGGACCGCCTGATATTCCTGCAGATATTGTTCAGTCAGATCTCATGATCTCAATCAGATCCACTCACCCGTTCTCGACGCGAGGCGTCGTAGGCGGAGAGTATGAACGGCCAACGCGGAACCTCCACGTGACAGCATTAGGCGCATCCCCATCATCCAGGTTATCACCCTCTTCATAGCTGACTGACATGATCTCGTAGGCGCGATACGCACGGCGGATGTACACCTCAAGCGCAGCGATGGCGACCCACTGATCGTCGTGCTGGAAGAAAGTGGGGAGAACGTCGTACACAGTGTAGCGGGAATCGACCAGTTCCTTGAGTATCTCAAACGCAGGCGTCCTGGAGTCGTCCCCAGCCTCGCCATAGTAAGTCGTCTTGACCGAGTTCTTGAGCAGATCACCCATCTGGATAGCACGCTCTTCATATGCAGGCATCTGGGTGAGGATGAGCACCTCGCGGGCCTTGAGCGCGGCCGGCTGGCACGACTTGCTCTCAAGAGTGGCGATCTCCTTGAGCACATTGTACAGCCTCGGTTCCTGAGTGGCAATCCGAGATCCGCCTTCTTTGACATGGTCGAGCAGGAGCAGGACGAGCTTGTTCTTGTTCGCAGCACGAGAATGACTCAGCACAAGCTGGGCAACGACGTCCAGGTTGTCCTTGTGCTGATCGCGGAGTTTGAGCACCACCGTTTCAGGGCGACCGCCGAACAACTTCGACGTGTTCTCATACCTCTCTAAGAGGGTGGCGACGGTGGACCACTCATGCGACTTGAGCCCATTACGATACAGCTCGCAGAGGTCGAAGACTGCCGCCAGCTGGGTGCGGAACATAGGACGGTCCTGCTCACGCATGTTCTCTTGCATATAGTTCTCCAAGAGCTTCCTTATCCTTGCAGTTGGGAACTCGGCACCAACGCGGTGCTTGCTGGAGTTGATCGCAGAGCGGATCGACTCTTCGAGCTTGCCTGGCATGCGACCAGACAGAGCAGCGAGGATGAAGGCAGCTTCAGTGAAGGGCAGTTCTGGGTCGCGCAGGACGTCAAAGAAGTCCTTAACAGTGCTCTGCATGACAGCCTGGTTATCGTAACCATCCAGGATGTTGCTAAGCGTCTCGACATAGTGCGCCATGCGCTGGTGGGGTCTGTTGCCAGCAACGGAGGGTGCACCCATGGGCGGGAGCTGGCCCTCGAATGGTTTTGCGTGCTTCACGCGGGCAGGGTCGTCCAGAGTGAGGATACCGAGGATATCGCCCGGCTCGAGTGTGACACCAGGCTGTTTGACAAACAGCGGCACTCCGTCCTCCGTAGCGATGAGCGGCATGTACATCTTCATAACTTCAATCTCGGCGTACGCGTCGCCGGCTTTCAGATGGTCGCCGCTGTCGACGAGGAAACGGACGAGCTTGCCAGGGGAAGGCGAGCGGAGTTGTGTGGGATCGTTCTCCTGCTCGATGAGGCAGGTCTTGGCGTCGATCATGAGACGGAGCGCGCCGACTTCTTCCCTCCAGTAGACAGAGTGGGACTTGCCGTCAAGAGTGACAAGGAGACCGCCATCAGCGAGCGCGCGGGCACCGACGAGCGTGCGCCCGCCGTTCAGGTACAGCGTCCAGAGCGTCTGGGATGCACGAGCGGCAGTAAAGCTGTAACGCATGCCTTCGTAGATGAAATCGACAACGAAGACCGTCTTGAGCGTGTCCTTAGCAGGGACCTGGCCCTTGTCCAGGATCCGCCTGTACTCGCTCCAGCACACCTCGGAGGCCATGTGTGCCTTCGTGACCGCGCCGCAGATAACGGCGAGGGTCGCATCGGGCCTCTCAGCAGTGAGCTTGTTGCTGATGAGCGTGTCCAACCAGCCGGTGGTGATCGTATTCTCCTCGAAGGCCTGCGTCTCGAGCAGCTTGATGAGGTATTCGACGGTGGTGCGGAAATCACCCCGGATGGAGAGTTCCTTAAGCGCAACGACCATGTTCTTGCGGGACTCGCTGCGGTCCGCTCCGTACGCAAAGATATGGCCGAACTGGGAGTCAGCAAATTCGTGCAGACCGCCGGTAGAGCCGACAGAGAAGTAACCCCAGACATTGGTGTTGGAGCGGAAGTTGAGTTCCTGCAGATGCCCACCGGAGGGCTTGAACCCCGCATCAGGGTTTTCCGCGGTGATACGGACGGCGACGACGTGACCCTTAGGCAGGGGTTTATGTTGATTTTGCGCCGACTGCGGGTTGACCATGTCGAAGTCGATCTCGGACGTACCGTGCGAGGCGACGCCGTACAGCTGGCGGATGTCCCGAATGCGGTGGAGCGGGATACCCATGGCAATCTGCAGCTGAGCAGCCGGCAGGTTGACACCGGAGACCATCTCGGTGGTAGGATGCTCGACCTGAAGACGGGGGTTGAGCTCGAGGAAGTAGAACGAGTCCTCGGCATGGCTATACAAGTCTGTATAATGCATCAATATTTTCCTTATACCGATACGAGTATATGCGCACATTCGACAGTACCAGCACTGACGTAGCCCACTAGCTTTGCGAGCCGAACAGCAGCCTTCTCCATCTGCTCGAACCGCTCCGGCTTGGCGATCGTCACGGGGGCTTCCTCGATGATCTTCTGGTGCCTGCGCTGCACGGAACAATCACGACCAAACAGGGAGATCGCATTCCCATACTGGTCTGCCAGCAACTGGACTTCCAAATGGCGCGCAAAGCCCGCGAGCTTCATGATGAAGATTGGCGAGCCCGGGACCTCGCCCATAACTGCCTGGAAGGCGTTCCTGAAATGATCCGGGTTTTCGACCTTACGAATCCCCTTCCCTCCCCCACCTTCGGACGCCTTGATCATCACGGGGAAGCCAATGATCTCCGCCTTGACCAAACCCTCCTCGACGTTTTTCACACACGCTTCAGCGTAGGCCTCTTCAGGCACAGTGACGAAACCCTCGTCGGAAATAGTGGTGGAGGAGATGCCGGTTCCAGACCAGGGCATGCATGGCACCTCGGCGTGTTGGGCAACGATCGCGGAAGAGATCTTATCACCCAGGGAGCGCATGGCGGACCCAGGAGGACCGATGAAGACGATCTTGTTCTTGTGAGCGTGCAGGGAGTCGGGCAGGCGTGGATTCTCGGATGCATGTCCCCTACACTTTTCAGCACAGTTTCGCTCGCCAGAAAAGGGTAATTCACCATCCAGCCCAAACAGCATGTACACCCGCGCGCTCCGCAACATCCAGAATAACATCGACGTTGGCATAGTTGTTGTTGTTCGTGCCTCCAGGAACTTCGATGTACCTGTCTGCCATGCGAATGTACTCTGCGTTCGCCTTGAGGTCTTCAGGTGTGGCCATCACGGTGAATTCGACGGCACGCTCGGTGCCGAACGTCTCGTAGCTCCATTGACGCACAGAGCGGATCTCCTTCACTGCAGCGATACCGTTGTTGGCAATGAGAACCTGCACCAAGCGCATCAGACCATCAGAATTTTGCAATAGGTGGAGGACCAACGCACCTTGGTGATCACCGTGTGCCCGCCATGGGATTTCACAAAGTCTGTCACTTTTCCGGGGTCGGCGCTGTCGACTGCGTTGCCGCCTAGAAGGAGGGGGTGAGCGAGGGTGCGTATATGCGCTCCTTGGCAGGCGTACCGATGAAGCGGGCAACGTTCGCGCTCGTGGTAGCCATCAGAGGGGATGGGGAGCAATTCGCGGTCTACGTTGCAGGGCGCGCGTAGAGGGTGGGCGGTGAGGGTAACAAGGAGGGAGGTGAGGTGGGGATGGTCTGTGACAAGGGGAAAAGGAGAGATAAGAGCGTTGGGTGGGGGTTATAAGGGAGATGGATGGGACACCTTGCTGATGGGTGACGGGAGACTGATTGGGGTTGCCGAGCGCGTTCTTTCCTCCCCTGCAGAAGATGGGAATTTGATGGGGTTTGAGATGTGACGTATGTCAGCGACAGACGATCGAGGAAGGATGTACGCCTATGTGGCGCTGATGGGAACAGAACACGCAACCAAAAACCTCTCTCTCTCTCTTCAACGACTCTCTTTGCCCAAAAAGAAACATCTCGCGCGTCCTTGTGGGGATTGGGGCTGGGGCTACCTCGGAGGTAAAATTCCCAAAGACGCGCTCATCATCGAGTGGCGAAAGGTGGTCTGGTCCCTGGATGACGACGTTAATCCGGGGATGTTCGGTCTCCCTTCGCGGCTGTTCGCACCGGCTTCCCGACCACCGGCCATGCCATCATCGTTCACCAACGACGTCTGATGTAAACTATTCATCAATCAATTGCCATAATATCATTGTTATTTCCAACGTGCATAGTAATGCCTGTCAAATATTAAGCGTACCCAAGTGAAGCTAAGCCAGAAAACCGTTGGGTAGACGAGCGATCCGTCTACAACCGACTTGTCCCGAACCATCTCTCCTCCTCAGCGGCTGTGCACATTATCAGGGGAAGCGAGGACCGTGACGGTCTCGACGGTCGGAGCATTCAGGCTCTTCTCTTTGCTGTCGTCGACCATGACAGCCCCAGGTGCGCGGAGCTACGGAGATACGTTCCCCACGGAGAGAGAGAACGTTGCTCCGGCTGCCAGCTTTTATGGGCAGAATCCGTCGCATACGGCGTTCATACCTAATCGAGGCATATTCCCGAAGACGTATTTACGCCGTCTGTTCAGCGCCGTCGAAGACACGAACTCTGATATTCCTTACTCTCACCAACACTAAATTTCACCCCTACAATAATGTCTTCTACCGGGCCTTGGTATCTCGGCCTCGACCTCTCAACACAACAGCTCAAGATCTCCATAGCGGACGACAATGAGGACCTCGTACTCGAGCATGCCGTTCACTTTGACCGCGATCTGCCCCAGTACGGTACCAAGAACGGTGCTGTCCGCGGGCCCGAGCCCGGAGAGATGCTGTGCCCGGTCGCGGTGTGGATCGAAGCTGTCGACTTTCTGATGGACGGACTGAAGAAGGAAGGTGTCGACCTTCACCGGATTGCGGGCGTCTCCGGTGCAGCCCAGCAACACGGTTCGGTCTACTGGACACAGGAGGCCGAGCAGCTACTCGAGTCCCTCGACCCGGGTAAGACGCTCACCGAGCAGCTCGGGAAGGCCCTCTCTCAGCCGACTGCCCCCACCTGGCAGGACTCCTCCACCACTAAGGAATGCCGGCAGCTCGAGGAGTACGTTGGAGGCGCCCAGAAACTGGCCGATATCACCGGGAGCCGCGCATACGAGAGGTTCACCGCATCCCAGATTGAAAAGGTGTGTGTTCATTTATCCCTTGCACTCCTAATTATATGCGTTATCTCACCGGGATGTCCAGGTGTGGAAGAAGAAACCAGAAGTGTACGCCAAGACAGGTTACATCTCCCTCGTATCGTCATTCCTTGCCTCGCTCTTCCTATGTTCCATCGCGCCAATCGAAGTATCCGATGCGTCCGGGATGAACCTGATGGACATCGAGACGAACAAGTGGGACGAGAAGCTGCTGGAGGCGAGCGGTGGGAAGGAGCTGAGGGCAAAGCTTAAGGGCGAACCCGTGCCTGGAGGAACCGTCCTGGGCAAGGTTGGCAAGTGGTGGGTAGACCGGTACGGTCTCAACCCCGGTGAGCTCTGATAGCCCCGCATACAATGACACTCGACTGATACGATTCACGATAGATTGCATCGTAGCTCCTTTCACGGGCGACAACCCGTCTTCCATCGTCTCCCTTTCTTCGCCGGGCGACGCTATACTCTCCCTCGGCACATCAACAACCTTCCTCGTCTCCGTTCCTCCATTGGGTACTCTGCCCGCGCGCACAACCACCTCGCACCTGCTCGCGCACCCCACCGCACCCGGTGGCTCCATCATCATGCTCTGCTACAAGAACGGTGCTCTCACGCGCGAGCAAGTGCGGGATCGTCACGCACACGGCTCATGGAGCACGTTCAATGCCCAGGTGCTTGAGACGCCGACGGGGAACAACGGTTATTCGGGCTTCTACTTCCCTCTCCCCGAGATCATCCCCGATGGCGTACAGGGCGACTTCTTCTACAAAGATGGCAATCCGATCGAATCCATCCCCGAGAACGCACATTCCCGCGCCGTCCTCGAGTCTCAGCTTTTGTCCATCCTCGCCAGGCTGAAGGATATCATGCCGAAGGACTCAGCCCCGCTTTCCAGACTCGTAGTCACGGGGGGCTCGTCCGCCAACCCCGTCATCCAGCAGATCTCAGCCGACATCCTCAACCTCCCAGCATACATCGCAAATACTTCGGCGAGCGCGACGGTCGGCGGAGGTTTTCTCGCCAAGTTTGCGCTCTGGAAACAGTCACACACCGGGACGTTCGAGCAGATGCGCCTGCAGGACGTGCACGATCAGTTTACCAAAGCGGCCGAACCGGACCCTGTAGCTGTCAAGACGTACCACGAGCTCTTGCCTACGTACCGGTCGTGCGAGGCACAGGTGGTCAAGGCGTGTGCGGCGAAGCGGGTGTGACGTGGGTTTCGGACTGCTACGGACTATGGTGACATGAGTATAAAGAATACAATCAATTACCCTCTCGAACTGATAGATATCGCAATGGAATCTCGTGGATACAAGTACATGATCTTCGAAATCATCATCACACGGCCATGCGCGTGCCTTCGGTTCCCCGAGCGTTGTCCCAGGTCTCGGGTCCCTTGAAATATTCGAGCTTCCTGCCCAAGTGACGCCGTTTCATCCACTCCGCACTACTCTCTCCCGGCTCGTCATCCTTCGCTTCGCCTGCGACCTGATCCAGAAGCCCACCGTGCAACGGCGTCATGACGACGGCGTTCTCTGGGCGGCAGAAGTACACCAGGCTGTAGCGGGTTATATCTGCCTGCTCGCCGGGAGGGGTGATCACCCGGTGCAGGTTGCTCCGCAGAAGGCCTTTGGTGAACACGACCATCGCGTCGCCCATGTTGACGATAGCGCAGCCCTCCACTGGCCGGACATACACCCATTCCTTGGCTTCGCCTGGGAGTTGGACTTGCAGTCCACCGACACGATTGAAGAGGATTGTTAGGGAACCAAAGTCGGTGTGCTCGCCAAGAGAGGTCACGCCGCGATCTTCAGGAGGGTGAGGCGGCGCGCAGATGAAGCGGACATGACACATCGATGGTTCTGTGGGCCGGTGGAGGTTGTTCAGCGTCCCATCCGGAAGTTGCAACGACTTGTTCAAGGAGGAGAAGAGGGTCTGCAGCACCGCGTTATTCGCCTTGACGTACTTCTCTAGCTCATCGTGCTGGGCCTCGATCAGAGGAGGTACTGGGTATGGGTCGGGATTGATCCCAAGGATGTCATCCTTCGGCATCTGTCTAACTCATCAACGTACGATAGTGAGCGAGCGAAACGAAACGAACATTATATATCGCATTACGATCCCTCGTGCCCAGGCGATCGATGACTTCCCTGCCGACGCCCTTGTACCCAGCATAGGTGCCTCGAGAGGCATAGTCACATTTCAGTTTCTCGTCGAGAGGCAGAGTGTGAAACTCTTCGGCGGTTTCGAACAGCGCATCCTTGCCTTTCAGCAGGGTCTCGCCCTCGGGACAACCACGCATATCGAGATAGAAGAAGCCCAAATTCTTACTGGCCTTGAATAGGCGTGCATGTTCTTCGACGTCATGGGATAGTAGTTTGGCCAGGTACAACGTCACCAGGGGAGCAGTCTTGATGTCGTCTGGGAAGGGCGGCAAAACCTTGGATCTCGAAGTCACACCATTTGCAGCACCTGTTGCGTCTCCCATATTGATCAACAAAGAACAAGTGCGTTGATGTGGAGGAAGATGAACGGTGCAGTGAAGAAGACACGCCTCCTGCCCGCTATAAAGACTCCCCGGATCCGATTATCTGAAAATCCGCTCAGGTGGAGTGTCCTTGGAAGACATTTCGGGCCGTTGACCAAAACGGATTGCTGTCCGTAGTTGGCTACGAACGACGTGTGTTGACTTGTATGCCGAGGGGCTTGGCCTCAGGCGGGTGTTGGGTGGTCATGGGGTCAAGGGAGACCGTTCTGCGGGGCCCCGGACTCAATTCATTTGTTCTTTGATCCGGGCAACACGTTCAAATATCGACAAGTTATTCTCACTTGCCTAATTTGCTTGGGTGCATGGCTATGTGCCGTCAAATAAAGCGTTGAGATGGTTCCTTATGCAGATTTCCGTACGTATGAGGTTACGGCCTCTTGATTGCGTACACATCTCGAACAGCCAGACCCCACCCACCCTGTCTGCCAGCATGACCACTCCACCGCTCAGAAAGAAATGCACCTCCATCGGGATCTTGTTGGATTCAACATCACAGTAGAGCGGGTCGCCGAGCTGACATGTTATGTCGATGTTTGCGGGTCTGACATTGAATATATCCGCCAACAGCGGCACAAATTGAAACTGCTCATCCAGCAATGTTAACGGCATTACGGCTTCCTCGGGCGATCGCTGATACACCTGAACTATTTGGATAATGATGACTATTTCGAGCGGCTCCTTCTGTGAGCTGGTTGCTTCATTGGAAATGGTGAGAACGTTCCAGTGGAACCGGTACCAGCTCGATAAGGTACCTGTATTATTCGCGAATACCCTTCCTTCATTGACTAATTGACTAGATAGATCCTCAAGAAAGATCACTGGTGAAAGACGGAACCATGGTGCTATCTAGTTTTGGGCTACTCACTCCGTCTTTGGTTTGGGCATCGCCATAAGCAAGACATTCTCCGCCATCCATTCGCCCATGGAGTATACGACCCATCGCTGAACAGCATGCACCCACCAAGGGCACACCTCCCGACTCCCACATCCCACGATTCTGACCACCGCACGGCCATAGCTCTCTGCACCGGGTGTGTCCCAGCTATTCGTCTCATGTACGCCATTGTGTGTCTTCACATTTGCCGTTTGGACATAGTGCACCTGGACGCGCGAGTGGAGCAAGCGTCGCTCGTCGAAGGCGATCGACCGGGCAAGCGTTTGTAGGAAAGATTTGGAGCATGCGTATGCCTCCATGTAGGGCGGAGGGAGCTCGGAGGCGATAGAGCCGATGAAAAGGACGGCCGTGGGACCTGGGAGGGAACGCATGGGGCCGAGAAGGAGGTGCGTAAGACGCAGTGGGAACATGGCGTTCAGCCGTATACCCGATTCGATACTCGAGTAAGGCTGTTCATCAAACCTGCGATTCCTCAGAAAAATCCCATAGATAGAATGAAATAACTTACGGCACAGGTGGAATGGGCATCCCGCCTGCATTATTCACCAACACGGTGATCTCCAGTCCCTCGAGTTCCTTCGCGATCCGTACCCAGTCGACATTCTCCTCCCCTGCATCACCTACGAGGATTCTGACGTCTGTTCCTTTTCCTAGAGCCTGAAGCTCCTTCTTCACACTCGCTAACTTTTCTCTATTCCTTCCATGGATGACGACATTGAAACCCTGTTTGACTAGCTCTCGTGCAACGCCTTTGCCGATGCCGTCGCTTGCGCCAGTGACTAGTGCATAGGATCGCGAAGAGAGGCGATACTCGGTGATCGTGCTCCGCTTTAGGAGATGATTTTGCGCGAATGTGAGAAGAGAGGAGAAATATGGGAGTAAGAGGAGGAGAACAGCCGCCGCGAGAGCGTATTCGATTGCGGTCATCGGCGTTGATCAGGTGCAAGCGCCCCGTGATTGCCCCAAGAGAAGAAGAGGACACGCTTCCGTCTTCCGCACCCTCTCCTCCTCTCCTCCTCAACAATACACATTGTCAGGAGATTGCTTTATATCATAATCGTGAGTCTACGTGTTCTTGATCTCGACAAGGGCGAAAATCATGATGATTGCTGGCAGATCGGTCAACCAGGAGCTCGTCCGTACATATGGAGCCGGATCCTTCAGTCGTGTACAAGCCTCCAGCCTCTGTGGACGCATCTCCGGACATTATAATCAAATCTTCAAACGGCCAGCTCCTTCATGCCCACAATTTTTTCCTCGGTGCAGTGTCCACCGTCTTCCACGGCATGTTCTTCTCCCACGCCAACGAACACACGACCGATGGCGAGCTACCTGTCGTAGAGCTAGCGGAGACGAGCAAAATCCTCGCTACGTTGCTGTCTCTCATCTATCCTGGACCACGGACCCCCCGAAATCATTCAATCTTCTTAACCTACGTCTTGGTATCTGCTGGTAAGTGGTTCTATCACATATGATTCCGTCATAGTGCGTATCTGTAAATTATCTGTGTCGTTTTCATTCTTTGAGGAATGCGATTAACCAATATGCATGATTGAAGAAGTCATGGTGAGCCAATACTATATCTCATCTCGGTTCCTACACGGACGGCCCTCATGATGGGTGCTAATGAGGTAATATTGTCTTATCGCAAGATCGCACTGTGTTATCGATGTTCTAGAACCTCAACATGTGCACGTGCCGAGCAACCCATTCCTCTGTCTCAACCTCATCCCTCACCTGCATCTCACACCATGGCAGATGAGACGAAACTTGTCGTTGTGTACACACCACCTGCCTCAGTCAATGCAGCTCCCGACGTCGCGATCAAATCATCAGATGGATATATTTTGCATGCCCACAAAATCTTCCTCGGTGCCTACTCCACGGTATTCAATGACATGTTCTCGCTCGATGAAGGACACACGCCCAATGGCGAACTCCCGGTCGTAGAGCTCGCAGAAGCAAGCAACATTCTTGTCGCTCTCGTGTCACTCTTCTATCCTGGTCCGAAGACTCCCCCGAGCTCGTTCAGGGTTGTCAAAGGCGTCTTGCTCGCTGCAGAAAAGTACGAGGTTTCATGCGCTGCGGATGCCTATCGCCACTACCTGGTTTCTTTTCTCAGCTCGGCGCCTTGTGAAGTGTACTGTATCTGCGCGGATCTTGGACTCGACCAGGAGAAGGAAGCTGTGATGTACCAAATATACACTCTCACCGAGAAGCAGGCACTGTCCCAGGAAAAGCAGGGTATTCCGGCTCACCGTATATTGGAGATGATCTCGGCTCGAGGTGATAGGACGTCAGCTATCATCACGGAGCTGACCAACATGCTCACATGGAAACAACGTTGCCGCACTTACGGTCGGCCATGGTGTCAGACACGGAGGGCGACTCCTGCTTGGTTCGATCACTGGCAGGATCAAATCCGGCTACAGATCATGGACATACCCATTATTGGCGGCCAATTTACTCTTCCAACCACGCACAAGGATTCGTGCAACGAACCCAACTGTGCGTGTGATAGCTGGGACCGTGACCGGTTTTTTGTGCTCAAAGAACACATGGAAGCCAAATTCCCTCTCAAATCGCCGTATCTTTAGGTCGAAGTGTGGAGTGGATCCACCGGAAAACCTGTATGCATGGTACCATGATGTAGCCCCCTGTAATGCCACATAACATTACAGCCGCCTACGTGTTGGGATCTCCCCGTTGAGTGCTTCCATCACGTCTGATCTCCTCATAGTTTGTGCTTGTAATCTCGTGTCGATTTGATTCATCGAGGAATGCGAAGGAGAGAATACTTTATCTACCTGATGGGCGAATTTATGTCTCTTCTCCTTTACTCGCGCTTTATGTTCGTTTTCTGCGTCAAATCCAGTTGTGGAGGAGTAGCTAAGTATAGGATACGCCCGATTATTCTATGAGCTACACACATTCCGATGATAAGGATTCGACAGCGCGTGGTACTTGTCGGAGCACTTGTGAATAGGATATGTTCTTGCATACCATGATATTCGCAACCGATTTGTTACAATGCCTATCGTCATGTGTTGAGCACAATCGTTAACGACCTACTTACAAGCCGTACACGAAAGTGTACTTCTTGTCGCCGACGCGCACATCTGACCTGTTTTCTTCCTCAAGCTCATCGGCAGTCATGGTTGCAAGCTTCTTTGCCCTCAGCCAGTTGGTGTATCTCAACAGAATGTACACAACGATATAGAGAGCAAACGAAGTGCAAACGAGAATCAGCGTGATCTTCAGGGGATACCGATAGTCAGGGCCATACTGCGGCACGAATAATTCGGAGCCGATGACACCGGAAAGATTGCCCCAGCCGTTGAACGAGATGATGATGACACGCTTCCCAGGTTCCGGAGTGTTACCGGCCAGCCACACAGCGCTCAGCGGTGAGGAGATGAAAGAACCCGAAAGAAGCACGAGCAAGCCTGCATAGCGTCCACCGGTATTTTCCAGGGGAAGCGAAAGCGTTAGAGCAAGACCGATAATGACCAAGACCAAACCGCTGCGAAACGCTCAGGTACTATTATGCGTATGATGAACATAAACATACCCTAGAATGTGGAAAGTACGGTTCTTAAACCTGTCGGACGAGTAAGCGACCAGTAGCAGGACGACTGAGCCGGCAACGTATGGCGGAACAGTCATTAAGTTGGCAAGCGCTCCTGAATACCCTAGACCCTACGACAAGACATCAGTCTCTACATGCCTTCTAACAACAAGACCGACGAACCTTAATGACGACAGGGAAGAAGGTTGAAAGGCCTTGTCCAGCCAGGGTCGACATGATGTTGGCTGCCAAGGTAACCCAAAGCCTCCAATCGATGCAAGCTTCGTAGATATCACGTTTTGTTAGTTTGTAGGTCGAGTCCAAGTTTGCAGCAGCGTCCATGACCATACGTTTATCCGCATATTCGCGCTCCTGGGGCGTCAGGTACCATGCTGTGCCGGGGCCCTTTGCCAACATGAATGGGGCGGCAATGGCCAGGATGATCGGGACGATCCCTTCGATGATGAATAGGTACTGCCAGCCGTACAATGATCCGTGGATTTGAAAAACACCAAAAGCAATCAGTCCTCCAAAAGCCCCAGCGATAGCGAAGAAGCTGTAGAAAAGCGAGAATCGGAAGGCTAGATCGTATCTTGGATAGAAATTTGAGAGGTAGGAGACTGCCGTCGGATAAAACCCGCATTCCGCCGCGCCCATGAGGAGACGGATGGCAATGAGCGAGCCATTACCCTTGACGAAGGCATGACAAATCGTAAGAATGCCCCAAATGCTGCCGATCAACGCGATGAACTTTGTTTGACCCATCTTCTTGCCGAAACCAACAATGATCGGATGAAAAGGGATATAGGTCACGAAGAACAAACTGTTGGCCTGATTGACGGCAGCAGCCGGGATACCGATGTCGGTGCTGAAGTTGTCTGTCTGGGCGTTGCCGAGATTACTCCGATCCAAACCGTTGAAGAGATAGATTGCCGCCAGGAAAGGGATGATCTGTGCCTCTTGGTCAGCTACATGGATTCGGCATTTTGATAGATGAGCACATACGTAGAGATCAAACTTGCGATTCAAGCTATAATGCGCCTTCCTCTCCTCATCCGTGATGGGCATGTAACCACCCTGCCTACTGGTCTCAAGTTCTTTTCGAATAGCCTCAGCTTTCGCCTCGTCGACCCAGAGCATCTCCTCTGCGACATACTTCGCATGGACATCGGATGCAATCACTTCTTGATGGAGATGGACTTCGTCCACAATATGATGGCCGTGAGCAGGCCTCTTCTCGAGGTCCACAACCTCTTGGTGTACGGGAATGTCTTTCTCCGAGTCACTGTGAGACATCGTGCTAAGAGGAGAAAGGCCGGAGGGAGGGAAGAGGACAGCGAATCACAAGCGGACTCGCTGATCTTCTAGCCGAACCATTCCCTGCCTTTTATGCCGGATCCAAGGAGATCTGGCGCATTTGCACCTGCCCCGGACGAAGAACGCGGGGCCCCGCCGTTGATGGTCCCATGCGGGGGCGGGGTAACAGGGTCCCTGCATTCCACGATTACCGACTTTCAATTCAGTCTAGTGAGTGGAGGGCGGCGGCGCATCGGTGAACAAAGAGATGCCTCCACCAAGAACTTACTCCCAATCGAAGTTAAGTGACGTGGCGGGCGATAGCGGTCCGCCTCAAAGCTCTTCTGTTGCATCCTCAATCATGCGCCATGTATTCACTGGACTCGATATGCTTCTTTTGATTGCGGCCAAAGTCTAAATGTGACACGCGGTTACGCGCGGGCCGTGTTAGCCTTTTGCATCAGTTCACGAGGCACCATGCATCGATGCTTCTCCTTGTTCCGTGTCGTCTTCCTCGCACATGAGAATGCACCATGCTGAATGCGTGCTCTATTTTCAAGTAGAAACACCCAAAATAGAAATTGTGGAGGAAATCAGCCAGTCACGATCGGAATTCGTTGCATTTCTCCACATTGTGGATCGACCATTTGAGATACATTGCTCCAAGGGTACGCAAAATGGCGATTGCTTCGGCCGACCTGAATAATACCATGGATGATGTTGGTTTATATATCAGTTCTGCCGCAATGTGCGCCCCTGAACCGCCTGACCCCGCACACGGTTGCCAAGCCGCATCATGGGAGACGTCGCTGCTGAACCTTTGGCCTCATTCCAGGGGCTACCACCGTTCCCCGACAATATCCCCACTGCACCTCTCGTGACGCTCTCTTTGGCCAAGCTACAGGCCAACGACCCACAGGAAGTTGCAGAGTTCTTCAAAATTGGCAAGGGGCTTGGTTTCTTCTACCTCGATCTGCGTGGATGTGACAACGGGAGACAATTGCTCCATGATGCCGAGGCACTGCTGGAACTGCAGAAGCAGTACTTTGACCTGCCACTTGAAGAGAAGCGCATCTCGGATCGGGAGACCGTCCCCGGCAGCGACGGCTTCTTCGGATGGAAAGCGCTCGGAACACTTGCTGTTGATAAGACAGGCAAGACTGATCGGAACGAGCAGCTGACTGTGAGTGCCGAGCGAATAAGGTGACGGAGGACTGATGCGGATATTGTGCAGGTGAAAAAAGATGATATCGTCGGAAATACGGCTCCGCTTCCCGTCCCCGAGCTCATTAGGAACAACATGCCACTCCTCAAGTCCTTCGCCACCAATGCCTTCGATATCGTGCAAGTGATGCTGACCCACCTGAACGACCAGCTCGAGCTGGCCCCAGGGACGCTCCCGAACATGCACAGGCTGTACGAAGAGTCAGGCGACCACGTGCGCATGCTCAAGGCTCCTCCGGCACCTGGTGAGCCCTCGCTGAGTGCAGGACCGCACACGGACTTTGGAAGCTTGACGGTCCTATTTAATTGGCTCGGCGGGCTGCAGGTCGTCCTCCCGGGAGCGAGCAAGGAGTGGGTGTATGTGCGTCCTGTGCCCGGGTGCGCGATTGTGAACCTCGGCGATGCGCTGGTCAAGTTCACAGCGGGGTTGCTGCGGTCGAATATCCATCGCGTGATGAGCCCCCCTGGGAACCAGGCAAGCCTCGTCCGATATTCTTTGGTCTACTTTAGCAGGCCGGAGAACGCGGTAGTGTTGAAGCAGATCAAAGGAGGATTGATCGATAATCAGCCAATATCGGAGGAACCACAAGAAGAGTTCACGGCCAAGCAGTGGTTCTTGAGGAGAGCGCATCTCAACAAGAAGAACGACGTGAGTTCGACGTTCTGAAATCGAGATTTCGTTTGCTGACAAGCTTCTCTAGAACTGGAAGCCCGAGAATTGGGCGAAGAGTCGTGGTACAGAAATGGGTCGAGGAGATTGAGTCACGCGTTGGAGGTTGGTCGATGTATCAGTATGCGTATTTTCGTATGTAAAGTCTATGAAATGGTGTATCATTTCATTACGTACCGAGTCACCATTGGTTTCAGCAAAGTGGCTCGTCACGTCCTCTTCCTCTATATGCTGTTCATCGAGTGAGCATAATGTTGATCCATCCCTATGAATTTACGCTGGCATGGACGGCCAATGATAGAGAATTGTAAAAGTAAAAGCCGTGAAACAAAGTAACGTGAATTGGCGTTGGACTTGTACCCTGCCAAGGGACGTCAGGGATGAGCGCCCGTGATTGGCCAAGAGAAGACGGCGGTCGCCCTGCCGCCGTTCTCCTGGACTGAAAAAAAAAACGCCGGTCTCTGCATTGTCCGTCGCCTCCTTCCCCTCCTTTTCAATTCATCTTAGGCTGGTCAAATTCTCAACTCTAATTTTTGTTAAAGACTTACTTGAAGGCAGCTCACAATATCTCATGTCCTTATGATCGGCTCAACCTACGCACGCGCCGTTGCGTGTCCACCTCGCAGCAACTTTTCGCGTCTGCTCCGATGTCGGACATTCTCTGCTCAACCAGCACCCGCACCGAGGTCTGAATTGGCAACAGAGCCAGTACGCAGGAAAAGCGCTGAACCTGAGGTGAACTCAGCTATGCGCTCTCTCTTCCGCCGCACCGCTCAGCCCGTGGCGATCCTAACCAGCCGCCATGCACCATCTTCTTCTACTCCTACTTCCTCTCAAACACCCGCCGCCAACCTCGAAGAATATTATCATGGCGCTACCCTCTCCTCCTTTACCTCTATCTCCCTCTCCCCCCTCCCGCTCGTGGCGTTCTCCCTCCACCTCCCTTCTCGAGCAGCGCAAGCAATCCAGCACGCACTCACCTCCGGCATCTACCCCTGTCCCAGTGTGGTAGTCAACATCCTGTCTGCTTCTCAAGCCGCTATAGGACGACATTTCTCGCGGCCCGATCTGTGGCCAAATCCATGGGAGATGCACAACCACGACCTGACAGAGGAAGGGATCCCTTTGTTCCCTGACAGTCTGGGCGCTGTCAGCTGCGCACCCCTCACGGGCTTTGGGCTTGATCGGGATGGGTTGAAGAGGATGGGTATAAACGTTCCTCAGGGAATGACATATGACTCGGAGGAGACCACGAGCGAGATATTCATCGCCCAGGTGATAAGGGTTGAGCTGGAGAACACGCCTGGCACGTTGCCACTGCTCTATCACGAGAGGGTGTTCAAGACTATTGCGGAGGACATTGTGGAGGGAGACTTGAAGCTGCCGCCGCCCGTCCCGCGAGAGCGAGCGAAGGCTTGACCTAGTAAATGGATCGGTTAATGGCGAAACAAAGCCTATCCATGCATGAGGCACATAGGCTGATGGTGGGTAGTTATACAATGTAAAATGATCGAAAAATCAGCCTTTTATATTTTAACATAACTGAACAGGTTGCCGAGGTCGACCCACTGCCTTCCGCATTTCTCGAGATGCTTGTGTACGATGCCCACCATCTCATCTAGTAACTGGTGGTTAGAGGTTAGCAACGCCTTGACCTCATCTGGAACAGGTCAATGTCGAGTTGGAAAAGAGGGAGGACATGACCTACCAAGCCGGGAAGTGTTCTTGCACTTCGCCTCCGCCTTCTTCCCATCCAGCAGTGAACTGTAGAACAAAATCTGGTGGTATAACATGAGGTCGGTATATTCGAAAGCCATGTTGCCGCGACAGCCTGGCCGCATGCACCTTCTCCCGTACACGCCCATGCTCCTGGTTCGGTTCCCACAAGTCGGATCATCGCAGATCATCCAACCGTCATAGTACTTGCTAATGTGGTCGCGAATGGCTCTGTCGAGCTGTACCTGGAGGCTTGCTGACTGGATCGGTGCGGAACAGGCGGGGCATTTAGGCCCATCCACGTGAAGGATGCAATCCTATCAATGAGATGAGTATTCTGATTAGAAGACAAGCGTGTGAACAGCATACATTCTTCTCCGCCATGGAGCCAAACATAAAGGAAGCCTCGCACTTGCGGCATCGGATGAGCAATGCATCAACATCCTTGAAGCGCTCCTTGTCAGGTATTTGGGAATCCAGAGTACCGAACAGCGGCTCATCCGTCTGGTTACTCAGACTGCTGCTATATCGCGAAGGGTCCAGTCCCAGGCATTCTGCCAATCTTGCACGATCGGTCCCTTCGATGGGCTCGCAGAGACGCTCGATGGGTGGCAGAATCTGCTGCGACAGGTAGTGAAGGTAGTCTACAGACATGAACATCAATGATCTTCACCGTCCCAAGATCGCTTACCAATATGTAACCCGCTGTTAACCTTCCTTAACTCATCAGGATGATGGGCATGATCGGCTTGAGCCGTCCGGGAGGTCTGTCCATCGTCGCCGAGGCAGAAAATGTAAGGGATAACATCCCCACCACGAGCGCTGTTCCCACGCGCTTTCATACGGAGGGCTACCTGCACATGAGGTTGGCTCTTTGCATCAGGATAATCTTCTGGATTCTTCCCAAGGCGTTTGAAAATAATGAACTCGTCCATGTCGATTTTGCCAGCCTTGACATCTTCGCCGATCTTCGTGAGATACTCGTGAATGCGCTCGACCACAATTTCTGTGGCCTCTCCAGAAAGGATGAATTCTAGGACAGCCCTGGGCGAAGGGTGAGACGGGAAAGTACCGCATGTATAACAACTGTGCTCACTGAGAGACTGTTTTGGAAAGGGCACAATATTCACGGCGCTTCATGTCAAGACCTTTCACTTCGGTCGATGTTGTGCCGTCCTCCTCAACCTTCAAAGCGGCATATTTCTTCTTCTGTAGGAGAAGTAAACGCTGGAAAACACCATCGAGGTCTATCTCCAAGAGTTTGTATCGTTCATTGACGTGTTTCTTGAAGTCATTCGCGATCTTCTTGGCTTCCTCCAGGTCAGACACATTCGAGTTGACAAATACGGAGTCGGTATCACCATAGACGACCTGCCGGAGAATCAGACTGCTTAACTCACGCGGATGGAGCGGTTCTCACATCTAATTGTAAACTTTCCGCAAGTTCTCGAGTATGCGTCAGGATCTCACGACCCTTGAAAGTGGTTAAAGCAGCCAGGGGTCGAGCATAGAAGCGAGAGTACTCGAAGCCGAGGCAACCGTACATCGAATTCGCGGTCAACTTCAGGGCTTTTTGCCGAATATCATATTGTTGGAGTTTTGCCTTCGAAGCAGATTTGTCCTTCATCAGATTCTTCACTTGTCTCCGTCTGTTGACTAAGGTGGCAATGAGACGGGGAAGTACTCCTTGTGCGATATCGGTGGCTGGAGTGTCAGGAATTTTCTCTTCTTCACCCTGCTGAGAACATTAACCACGACATACAATTCAATCAATCAACTGCTGACCTCCACTTGTTCAGGTTGCTCAATGGTGGTGAAGTCGATGTTGTACTCCTGGATGATGCTCGGGTACAGACTGTTGAAGTCCATAACCAGGATGTATTTATCCCACAATCCACGCTTCGGTTCGAAGACGAGACCACCTTTGTACTTATCCTTCTTCTTGCCAGCCGCCGGCACACCCCCTTCCAGCTCTTCTGTCTCTGCTTTTGCAGCAGCATTTGCAGTTTTCTTCCCCCACATCTTATCGGGAACGATGTATTTGAGACGGTGGAATTCGTGAAGAAGAATGTACTCGTTCCTCTCTGCTCGGCCACCGTTGAGAGTTTTATTCCTGAAAATACGTCAGGTACAATGCTCAGGTCCCATAGGACGGATGCTTACCATGAGTTTCCAGCTAGATTTGTGAGCTGGCGTGTCAAAGGTAAGATTTGTACCCTTGCTGCTATTGCCATTTGGAAAAAGGTGTCCATCTCGCAGTGGCGTACAAAATGCAGAAGTCGGTCAGGTGTATTGACCGTACTATCCAGGTACGATGCTGTGTCGTCAGGATCGATGTCTTCCCTTTGTATTTTGAGCTGTCCTTGACACATCTCTGTGAGAGACCATGTTGTAGAGGTAATCATGCTCTTCGCGCCATCACTGGCAAGATCGCACAAGAGACGCCCATTGAGGAATTTGATGTTCATGCCTTGACGAGAGATGTTAGGCCACTTCGCGCGTCGGAACCGCCCAATGCGTGAGAAGTGCTCCGTCTTCAGCTCCCGCAGACGATGGAGAAGAATATCTAATGAAACTCCCAAGAAATCATGCCCAACAACGATGTCAGGATCGTATCGATGGATGGTGGCGAGAAGATTTCCAAGAAGCATACGCTCATTCTTCATTGTCATGATCTTGGACTTCTCAGTGCGAGCTTTGTTCTCGAACCCGGCTGGAAATCGGTCCAAGGGACGGACAATGGTGTGGAGCGAGGATGGAACTTGCTCCGGCGGCGCGTTATCATCAATATTCACTGCTTCATGTCAGTACAAACGATCTGCCCGCATCGGAGGAACCTGCCATTCTCCCATGTCCTTAGGGATGCGCAAACAATCTCACGCTTGTTTTCCTTGTGATTCACGATGGTTCGTAAACTGATGCTCATCATGGTCAAGGGTGGAACGTCTCTGGGTGCAGAGGCGTCCGTGTCAGAGAACAGGTTGACATCCTTCGGGTTTGATACGACGACTTCTAGCTTGCACCATGAGATCTAAATGGCGAGCCTCAGTCACCGAGGCGGAGTCGTCATAGAGCAACTTACTCCTGTGTCGCTGACTGTCGGCTCCTTAATTTGTAACCAACAGGGCCCCATTATCTTGCGTTTGAGTACGAGGAGCTCGAATGCGCTGGTACTCGTTCCAAAGACGCGACTGAAAGAGGGACCAGAAATATCATTGGGTAGTTGAGGTTCTGGAATGTGTTGGTATCGGGTATGGGAGAGAACAGAGACGAATATTTGTACATACCGCCAAAGCCATAGACCACCTTCATCCATTCGGTTTCCTCAGTAGGGACGTCTGTTTCACCAAAGGCATAGCGGCGTTTCACAAACTTGGCTCTCCATTTCTGGATGCCTGCTTTGCGTCGGACGTGATCGAAGTCCTGAAACACTTCTGCGTTTGTGGGAATCTCATCGGTCTCGGCACCATCTTCTGTTCATGCTTCAGCATATTTCGGGACAATGAATAACTGCGCATACCCATTTTTCTGTGCCGCTTGAGCACAAAGATGTTCCGTTCAATATTCTCGATCGCAACGCAGCAGCTGACCCATTTGCCGGTGACCTTGTCCACAACCTTTCCGACAAAATATACTTTTCCGTCGTTCTCGAGATAATCCAACCAAAAGAAGCGCAGAGATCCATCGTCTTCCAAAGCAGATACTTTGCTGCCTGCAGATCCGCTCATGGCTGTTGACCCGATAGTGTCGTCGGATTCTGATTTCACGTTGAGTTTATCCTGCACCGATAGCCAGGAGGGGAAAGCCGGCTCCTTTTTCAATGGTCGAGGCAGGTTGTCTGCTGGTTTCAAAGGGGAGATGCGGGACTCTGAAGCGGCCTCAGCAATAGGCAACTTAGGAGAAACAGACTTACCTTTATGTTCCTGCTTGACAATCGCAGGTGCTTCATCTACCAGCATGTCATCCTGGTAGAAATTGTCGTAAAAGGAGTCGTCGTCAGGCATAGTCAGATCGTGTAGCTTGCTCGTGACGGCGGCTTGTTGAAGCCGGGCTTTCTTGGCGGGACTGCCGAAATTCTCCAGCTCGCTTGTGAAATCATTGCCCCAGGAATCCGCAGCATTGTCGCTTGACGGATGGGTGGCCCGTCGATTGATGGCCCCAGTACTACGGCTGGGGATATCGCTGTAAGGGTCGATTGGGTCAGAAGAGGATGCGATGACATGAGGCGGTCGTCGATGAGCAGTGAAATTTGTTGGAGCTGCGTGAGCTGCAGACTTCCTCTTCTGAGGACGACCTCGTGAGGCGCTAGCTGGAGTCGTCTCCATTGATTTCATCAGGGATGCCATGAAGTCAGACTCCTTTTCTGCGTTGATCACTGGGCGGTACGCGCTGATGTCGGGCGTCGCATCCACATCTGGGCGAGGCCGCATCTCTTTCTTTTCTTTCTTCTTCTTGGCCTTGTCTTTGTGTCTGAGGTCTGCTCACATATGTTAACCAAAACCTAAATGCGCATGATTGCCGGAACTCGCCATAGTCCTCTTCCGAATCTTCTTCGTGACCATCGCCATCCCGCTCCCAATCATCCATCCCGTTGTCAGCGTATCCACCCCCATCATCATCCTCAATGAAATCATCTCTCTGGAGTCGACCTTTTACAACGGCTTTGTACTGCTCCTCGTCGAGTTCATCGTAGAGGTTGCCGTCATCACCCGCCTCTGCTTCCTATGTAACGCGTTAAATAAGGGCCGGTCAAGCAACAATGACCAACATACTCGATATTGTTTTGAGCGTGCCAATCCTTGACGAGCAGCCTTTAACTCTGCTAGCCGATCTGTTGTTTTCGCCCGAGAAGACATTGTTTCCAAGAGCACTCCAAAAGTGTGAGGAGGATAGAACGAGCACAAAGACGCGTCGTGACACTGAGGCGCGTCGCGTTACATTACTCCGGGCCGTTCGGCTCCGGTATAAAACACGTGCGAGTGTCCTCAGTTGACCGTCGATCTGATCTGTGCCACGGCTCCCCCCCCTTGTCCGCACTTTTGCAGGCCTCCCATTGGGCCAAACGGAGAATTCACGGCTCCGACGGAGGCACAGCCACTGCACAACCACATCACGCTGGCGTCCTTGGGACCAAAAAATAATATTTTCTGGCATTGTGATTTATTTCAAATATGTAAATGCTATGTTGATGTTAAGAGTCGATTTCATTCCCAACTTGTTCGAGGGGAAATCATCTCCGAATGATTATTATTTTCGATGTTAGGGTTCTCGAGTTCGACTTCGCCGTTTTCGCGAGCGGCGGACCCTAAGTGCGGACAAGGGGGGGAGAGGTGGTGCAGTTGTCGATCTGTGCACGACTATTCGAACCTCGTTGGGTATGATGAAGCTAATCTCAGATGATTATCTTCTGACAGTGCACAGAGAGTTTGCGATGCCCTCGTCATTATTTCTGCTCCCCCCTTGCTTGAGGACACAGTAGACGTGGTTCTCAAATCGTCGGATGGTGTTGACTTCCGTGTGCACAAAATGTTCCTCGCCATAGCATCAACCGCATTCGAAAGTACATTTCTACTTCCCTCAAATCCTCAAGGTGAAACCGAGTCGACTCTTCCGTCTGTATCCCTGGTCGAAATAGCAGAAGTCATCGCTCTGATACTGGCGTATATCTATCCTATCAAACGACCGTCTCGTCCGTCCCTTGCACTTCTCAAAGGCGCTCTTCGAGCGGCCCACAAATATGACATGCAACCGGTCCTCTCTGGTCTCCGCCCACATCTGCTTCATCAAGACTTTTTACGATATGACCCGATTGGCGTCTACGGCATTGCAAGCACTCTTGGTTTCAAGGAGGAGGCACGCGTGGTATACGAGAGCAGCCTCAAGCTCCCCTTGGAGGACCTATTTAATTGTGATGGCAGCAGTGGGGACGATTTGTCGGGAAGAAGCCTTTCCCTTCTCCTCAAACATCGGCAGGAGGTCAGCAAGGAAATGTATACCGTTGTGTACATCACTTTTGACAGCAAGGACATGTGGCAAGAATATGGAATACCCATCTGCCAAAAGTGCAATGATCTCTTCAATTGGGTCACTGCCTGGGAGCAGTCCGTACGACGGGACGTTGAACAACTGCCGTGCACAGAACAATCCTTCTCCAATTCGTATTTGGCCCACTTCCACTGGGTCGCTCCGGGGTGTCCTTGTGACCCGATGCAAGTCAGTCCGGCTTGGGACGCACAGGATTTTCTTCGACTGAAAACAGAGGTCGACAAAGAATTTCGAGACGCACTAGAGAAGGTTGATTGGAAGATGTCGGCTCCATTTTGATGGATTTGCTATGCAGCCGTTTCACCCAGATGGCAAAAGGACAAGTGCATGGGTATCGGACACTGTGTGCAACAATGACACTGTAGACTGCCTCTCAGAACGGGGGACCAGGGAAGATTCGGCGCGAATAAGGTGGATGTGCAAGTACTCATGTTATCACCATGATGCATAATGCATGTGCTACATGAATGGGACGGCATTCCCAATGCCATAGATGTCATGACCCGATACCCCGCAGCTGCCGCTCCCTCCTGAATGGGCGCTCTCAGATGTTTGATGGGTACAACATAATCCTAACAGATGCACCAAATGCCTTGGGGGGGAGATTGGAGCGGAACTTGCCCTTGACAACACCGGAGTTGCCGTGCGGACGAGTTACACGCCTAATATAATGGTAAGGATACGAGAACGATTTCCTAAACGAATTTCACGTACCCCCAAATGATGCGAATCTTGGACCCACGGACCTCCTTTTGTGCCTTGTAGACGTAGGCAACACGCTGGAAGGAACATCAGTACGTAGGCAGCAGTTCCAGTATAAGAGACGCACCTTGCCAAGGTAGAACTGAGCATCCTCCTTGTTGGTGACACCCTCGATCTGAAGTAGGGAGGTATTGGGCCGGGAGTTGCGCTTTGCGCGCTTGTGCCCGAGGACACGGCCCTTACTGTATAGTCTACGCAAATGAATCAGCCTGATATTCATTGTCGAGGTCGGCGTCTGGGGTGCCTAGACAGCGCCTCCCTCAACTGCATCCACTCTCGTCCTCTTCCATCCACCCTATCCATCGGTCCCTTCTCACAATATACCCCACCACTGTTTGTCTAGGCATCCCAGAGACACATGAGAGCGTGCTCACCTTGTGGAAACCATCGTGTCGATCGGTGGGCGAGTGAGTGTCGGCTGTCGTGTTGGTATGGTAGACTTTTTGGACAACGAGAAGCCTACCCAATCCGGAGCCAATTTCAAGGGGCTGTGCCAAAGACCAGCGGAAATGAATTCCTCCGCTAGTTTTTCCGAGGTAACGAAATGATCATCATTAGACTTTGCGATATTGTGGAACAGGTATTGTCTGTGGACAGGGTTAGAGAACAACAATAAGTCTCGCTGCATAATATGGGAGGCGAGTAGACTCGAATGCGAAACCCGTCGCTGCAACATCCTTAAATATCATTAGTTTTTCTGGCCCTTAGTAGGGGATGGGGTATCAGTTACGGCTCCCGACCTAGTGCTAAGGTACATATGCGTTCTCATACGACATTGATCTCGCGGCTGTCGAGCAAACACGTTGCATCGATTATCGATAATGTGGACCACGTGCCTCCCTTGTTAGGGCATCCTGTTGACTAAAACGCGATTTCATCATTGGTCATACATCGGCAAAAGAAGAAAGGGGTTGTGAACGTCAGCAATCATATTGATGGATAGCGAGACCAGGTCGTTCAGGAGGGCCATTGTGAGACATGTGAGATGGAACGAGAAATGTGGTTGGGAGTATGATCAGAGCAAGCGTTGAGCATTCGTGAAACAACTGATATGACGAGCGAGTAGTGAAGGTGTCATATGGGTAACAGACTGTGAGAGCGATTCGGCAAGACTTCTAATAGACAGAGCCCTCGGGTGGTTGAGGCAGCTTCCTGTTGGTAGGAGAGGCCATCTCCCTGCGGGACGCATCAACAAATTTCCCACAAAGCGGACAGTAGGTACGCACTTCCGCATCTCGACAAGCACAGTCTCTATGGTATAATTGCGCCTCCAGTGGGCGAGCACACCGATCTTCCCAGCCTCGACCTAAAAGATAGTCAGCCTCAGCACGAGGAACACAGAAGGGTGTCCGTCATACTTGACCGTTTGCAGCAACGAAAGGAAGGTTCACGCGGGAGAGGAAAGAGATGCGTGGAGGTGAGTCGGGGTATGAGTCGTCACAGTGAATCTTCAGACTGTAGATCCTGTTCTCATGAACAGTCTGGGAAGGCGGTCAATACATCAGGAACTAAGTGAATATAACACATAGGCATACATGACCGGGCCCGATGATGGTCCCGTTCCAGTTCGACATGGTGATGTCGTCGCCATCCTCGAGACCATAAGAGCATGAGCCATCACCGATACCCTTCTCGCCCTTCTCGAGCTCTTCAAGCAGACGAAAATTGCGTGGAACTGCGGTGCGAGAAAGAATAGGCCATTAGATAGGCATATGGCGGACATCGAATGCACAACACACCAACAGCCATGACAAATCTACAAGATCAAGTTGGTTACAGGAGTGAGATGCAACGGACAGCCAGATGAGGTGGCGATGATGATGATGGAATGGAAGGGCCGACCGGAGAAACGGGAGCAATAGACGCAGTCAGAAGCACAGCAGATCCACTCTGTCGACCATCCTTTGACCGTCGCCTTCCCGAAGACGGTTCTGCGTCCTCTTTCCTCTTTACCATCCCCTTCTACTATAGAAACTATCACGCTGGACGCTATGTTTGCGAAAGTGAATCCGTATGATGAGATCGTCAGTGAGTCCAATCTCGGAAGTCATGCGTTGAGTATATGCTAACGACACGCAAGCACGGACGACCGACGAGACGCTTACAGGCGAAGATTGGAACCTCATTTTGACATTATGTGACAAAGTCACTGACGAAGGAGAGCAGGGGTATGCGTTTGTTGTGTTTCTTGACGTCCACGCTCATTTCGGCCTCCTAGTGCTCAGAACGTGATTGCTGCCCTCCTCAAACGCCTTGCACACCGAAATGCCAACGTACAACTCTATTCGCTGTCTCTAGCCGACTCGCTCGTTAAGAACTGCAAAGTTGACTTGAGGCGAGAGATAGCGAGCAAGGCGTTTATGGCGGGAATGGAAAGATTAATCATGGATAGGGTGCGGTGCAATGCGCTTGTGCGAAGCACCCACTGATCAACACACATACACAGACCACGCACGACAAAGTCCGGAAGAAGGCGCTCTTCTATATAAGGGAATGGCTGGAAACATACGAGAACACGGGAGAGAATTCTGCGATGATTGATGAAACCTATGCTAGGCTGCGAGATAAGGGTATGGTTCATAAAGAGAGGATAAATCGCTCGTTAACAAAGACGCCCAGGGTATCACTTCGAGGCCCCAGACGAGCCGGCTCCGCCTGAGGTATCCGACGAAGCTCGACGAAGGGAAGAAGAGGAACTCCAGCGTGTCCTACGCTTATCAATGGCAGACACTGGTGGACGAGGCGCATATCACAGCTCCTTTGAAGGCGGGTCCTCGTCAGGTGCTGGAGGAAGCGGCTCATATGGTGAGCCCGAACTCCCCATTACAAAAGCGCAGACAACGCGGATGTCGTCCTACGCCGCGACCACCTCTGCAGGCCCAACCAGCCCTGTTCGCAAGCAAACTGAGCATCAGGGCTTGAATGGGCGCCCTGCTTCTAGCTATCTGCCGACCGTTTCCCAGGCGGCTATTGCAGAGGAAACTGCTGCTGCCGTGCGCCCGGCCCCCGCACCAGCCATAGCACCAGTGCCTGTGTCCACTTCTCCTCCAACTGAACCGACAATCTCTCGGGTGCGCGCGTTGCACACTTTCGAAGCGACACAACGGGGTGAGTTGGCATTCGAGAAGGGCGATATTATCAAGGTCGTCGACCGGGCGTTCAAGGACTGGTGGCGCGGACAGCTTAGGGGTAAAACCGGAATCTTCCCTGTCAACTACATCGAGGTCCTCCCAGATCCTACCCCGCTGGAAATCCAGAAAGAAGCGGAAATGGAGTCTCAAGTCTTCGCCCAAGCTGCCAATATTGACCGATTGCTCACTATGCTGCGTGGCCTGGATCCGGCAAGGGACAACCTCGCGGACAATGATGAGATTCAGGAGCTGTACCGCCAATCGTTGTCCCTGCGACCGAAGATCGTCAAGCTCATCGATAAGTACAGCCAGAAGCGGGCTGATTTAATGGGCATGAATGAAAGCTTCTTGAAGGCTCGCAAGATGTTTGATAGGATGATGGAAGAGAGTCTAGCTGTTCACAACCCGGGAGGTAGGCTAACTCTGAGTTCATATCACTCTCCTTACTAAATACATGGCCAGTCTCACTGCTGGACTACAATCGCGCGCAAGCAGCCCAGACAGCATATGACCCCCGTGCCTCTGGCTATGGCGGGTATGGACAACAAGGATACCCTGGGTACGAGCAGGGCGGATATCCGCAGGACCAGTATGCGCAGCAGCAGCAATATGCTCAGCCTGGTTACAAAGGACAGCAAGGCTATGACCAGAATGTGTATGGGCAACAGCAGCCCCAGCAGCAGGGTTACGAGCAATATGGTCAGCAGCAGGCCGGGTACCAATATCAGCCCCAACAGGGCCAGGGAGGACAGTACGATCAGCAGAATGCAGCACAGTACGAGCAGCCGCAGCCGGGCCAGTACGATCAGCAGCAGGGAGGAGCAGGACAATACGACCCCTCTCAAGGATACAACCAAACCTACGCGCAGCAGGGCGCGCAGTATTCCGATCAGGCGGCTGCACAGGCCTATCAGGACGAGAACGCCCGTGCTTGGGCGGAATATTATACTTCACAGGGACTGGCACCGGATGGGAAGACCCCACTGGCGCAATGGCAGCAACAACAGGGTAGTCAACAGGCTCAGGCTCAGGCAGCTCCGGTGCCCCAGGAGACGACTCAGTATGCACCAGTGCAGCAGGCTCCTGCTCCGACGGGGTATCCCGCCCAGCCAGGCCAACCAGCCTCAACATCTCCTACCACCCGCCCTGTCGCAGACGCGTACGCCGCCCCTGCCTCTGCTCACCCTGGCGCACCAGGTGCACAGCAGCAGTATGCTTATGACCCCCAAGCACCGGCTCAGCAGTACGGGTATGACCAATCACAGCAACCTCCCGCTCCCGCCCCAGCTCAGGCCCAGGCATACCCCGTCCCTGGTCCCCAGCCAGGCGGGCCTCAGCGCTCCGGTTCGCTGTCTTACGTCGCTCAACCCCAGCCCGCCCCTCAAGGAGCGCAATCGCCGCCTCTCCAGGCGCAGGCGGGATACCCCGCGCCGTCGGCCCAGCCAGAGCAAGGGTACCCCGGCAGCCCGGCGCCGGCTCAAGATCCTTATGCTCAGCAGTACGTTTCTCTACACCAAGGATTTGCGCAAATGTCGGTCGGGGACGCACACCAACAGCAGCCAGGCGCGCCACAGCCGCCTGCGTAGCTGAACGAAAGAATATTTCCGTTCATTCAGCAGTCGACGACAGTGAACTAATCACGTATGTAACGACCCCGCTCTCCTCTCAAACGATTCCGAGGACGTGCTCTGTAGCCTGTGTATAGTCTATACCTTCCCTGTGCTTTTCTACGTAGCGGTTCTTGTAATGTGGCAAATAACTCGTTCCGTTGTGTGATAAGGTGTGATCCTGCAAGCGTGGGTGACTTGTTTATGAAGAACAACGTTTGTGGTCATATGCGCCACAGACCGGTCTGTGTCTCTGTGATAGACTCGGAGGTACTGCGGGCAAGCGCGAGCGCATACTGTCACCTGTTTTTCTCTTTGAGCCGTTGTATCGGTATTGCGCACTTTGTTGGAAGTTTCGCAATGACATCGTTTGGAGAGCCGCACGGTGTCGGAAGGGGAATAAAGTATGGGTATTGTACATATGAGTCTAACAGAGAGAGAAATAAGTGTCTGAAGACGACAGCAGCTCTGTGCATATGCATATTATGAGAAATGTAACAAGGTGAAAAAGTGCATGACCGACCTATGCATCCTGCTCCATCGCTACTTCGGGCTTCCTCGTCCTCGTCTCCCTCCCCAGACCTGCCGCCCTCTCCGCCTCTTCTATTGTATATGCTGGCTCCCTCAACCTCGTACACCTCCTCTTATGCAGCTTGCCCCTCCAATGCACTTTCAGTGCAGCGTCGCTCTCGAAATACCTCGCACACTCAACACAATAATGCTGCCCCAGGCCGGGGAGGTCCGGATCAATAGGTTGTGCTTCGAGCAGGGCTCGTCGGGCGGGCAAGAGGTCAGCTTGGATTTGGTCTAGGTCTTTTGTGCGTGCCCGGGTGCGTGAGGCGCGGTGTACGTCTCGTTGGGCTTTGTGTGTACGGGAGCGACGTAGGCGGCCCATGGTGAAGCTCTGAGGAGATCTGTTCAGTTACATTACGTGTTCGTATTCAAAATATTTACCAAGGCTATAAACGATGGTAGGAAGTGCGATGTTGCTTTCGTTGTAAGAAGACGGGCGCTCTCAGTGAAGAAAAGAATTCAAGCGCCGTGCGAGAGCGGAAGCAACTGCGATTACGGCATGCTTATCACACGAGAGGGCGTTGTCACATCGCGTTGACTCCTCTGCAGAACCTGCTGGACGTTCTAGTCATTGTCAGTTGTTGTTGCTCACGGTCTTCTTTCTTTCTTTTCTTTGACTGAGCTGCCGAGGACTTTGAAAGACAAAAATGGCTAATGAACCCAAGTCTGAACTGCCAGCAGAGCTTATTATACACGTTTTGGAGCATCTCGCACCAAGCGCCGTGCTACGTCTGCGCTGCGTCAGCAAACAATTCAACGCACTCGCGACGTCCAAATCTGTCTGGCTGTCTTTGGTATCTCGTCTTCCTTCACCGGTGCCTTCGCCTCTCAGGGACGACTCTGCCTCCTCCTTACCTGTGGAAACGCTCATTCGACTGACGCATGCCGCCTACGCCCTCGCAGCCAACTTCGCGTCCTCCCTCCCCGTCCCTCGGCGCACGCTCAAGCTCAAGGAACTGCACGTTGACCGGCTGACCTGCATTGCCCTCCTCCCCGGGGGGAGGTTTCTATTCACAGGCTCCGTGGACGGCTGGATCCGTTGCTGGGATCTCGCAACCCTCAGGCAGGTCAAGAACTCTCAGCCTGTAAACGCTGGCAGCGTGGGCCGCGTCGCCCAGATGAACATGGAAGTTGATGTCAGTGCACTCCAAGTTCATTGGGAGCGGGACGACCCAGCCTCTGGAGCAGCGATCGTTGTCGTTGGTAGCTACTACTCCATCGAGAGCTGCCGGGTCTTCCGTATCCTCCTACCCTCCCCTTCCCACGACTACCCATTGCTCGACACCCCCCTCCCACGCTACACCCGTTCCAGCTTCTTCCCGCTCAACTCCGTCGTTCAGAACTGGTGCGGCACGCAATCCGTAGCTCTGCAAGATGACATCGTCGCCGTCGGCGGGCATCTCTCGCCCATTCAAGTGATCAACTGGCGCACGGGCATCCAGAGCGTCCTCCAAACCCCGGAGGGCGAGCGGCGCTCAGTAGCAGTGATCAAGATCATCCCCCCGTGGCTGGTGAGCGTGACCCGCCTAGGGCAAATCGAGCTCTTCCGGCTCCCGCAGTGCGTTCTTTCAGACGTCGCGGACGTCGACTCGGAAGAACCAGGCACATTGGTTGCTTCCCACCCTCTGCCAATCCCCGCCGGCCCAGTAGTATCAGTCACCATCTCCACGCAGTACCTCTACCCTTCCCCGCCAGGTGTTCCTGCGCGGTACTACCCCCTCACGCTGCTAGTACAGCAGGGCCAACAATCAACAGTCTACGAACTCGACCCGCTCCCCTCCCCAAACCCGCGAGAGTTCCTCTACATCTTCCCTCCCAGACCGATCGCGACCCATCCGCATCCCCCCACTCAGAGGCCCGAGAGCGCCTTCCTCGGAGCAAGCGGTCTTAGGTGCGCGAGCACAAGCAGCATACGCGACTTCTTGCCTTTCAATCGGCTTTTGCTCTGGTCGCCTAGTCCTCCTCCGCTACCCGTCCTCGGCCCACCCGCATTCACTCCCTCCCCCGCGACTCGCACTCCCACACCCGCAATCACCCACTGTGAGCCGACCCTCACCCCCCGTACGGTAAAAGACGATATCCGAGACCCGGAGTCTGTCTGGATGTGGGAGGAGAGCAAGGACCTTTATACGGAGGTCGCGTTGGAGGAGGAGATGGGAAGGGTTGTCGTGGGTACTGCCAGGGGCGGGTGTTGGGTGTTCGATTTTTGAGGCGAGTGGACCGGGTTGTACGATACTAGATGAGTCAATGTATTGGTATAGATTTCCTCTGAACGCAGTGGAGATATTGTCAGTTTTCGCGACCAGATTTCTGCGGCAGATGTGCGCTCGTCACTGGTCGGTTTTGACACGCGTCCCGTTCTACAACAGAGGAGTCGATGGTAACCTGATGTGGCTTAGCTCTGTATACAATAATGTCTCCAGGATTTTTCGGCTCCATTACCAAGTTACTAATACAAGACGTTGACCAAAATCACAAGAAAATCAGTGTAAGCCTCCAGCAGAAAAAGGATGGGGAAAAGGTGGTATGAAGCGTGCGAATCGAATCATTAACAAGGACAAACGGTTGAGTAAAAGATCTTATTGAAAGATGATGAGAGACTTTGCCCAGATTCTAACAGGAAGGCATGGGAGATCACATCGACCGATCGCGGTAGTGTGAAGTCGGTGGTACACTGGGTTGACGCTGAGGTGTTTTGGGTAGGTCGGAGGAGGGAAACCGGGAGTGGGAGGGTGCGAATTCGTACCCCGAGTCCTGTCTTGCGTGCCCTAATGAGGTTGCATCCAGGGGTGTAGGATCAGGCTCCCTTGGGAAAAGTTAGCTGGACAGTCATGTGCACGCTGGTTTGGAACTCACGCGTCGTGATACTTCGCGTCCCAGCTCCATTGGCTGGGATAACGCGCCCTCCATGCTTGACGTCGTCTACGCGTCCTCCGGCGCAGAACAAGTAGAGCGAGCTATCATAGACGTCAGCAATCCGCTCACGGAAAAATGGCAGAGGGAACTTACCACAATCAGACCGCCAATTACAACAACAGGCAAGATGACACCAAGGATGATCGTGGTGGTCTTGCTTGATGAGCTCCCAGTTGGACTTCCTGTCGCGGTACCTGGAAGCACGGCAAACGTCGTCGTGTGACCATCGCTATCGGTGGAATAGTAGTAAGGGGAAGTAGTTGGTAGAGAGGTTGGCGATGCGAGGAGCGATTCTGCCTCTGTTGCAGACTTTGCCCATGTGCTTGGCGACACGGGTGGGAGAGTGGTGAAGGGGGATACTTGGGTCGTGCCTGGGAAGGTGGATGTGGCAAAAGAGGAAGACATATTGATCTGTAAGATTACCGGGCACGAGTCAAGAATTGATTTGAGGAGGAGGAGCACACGATGGTGGCTAGAAGGTAAGAAGGCACTATTTACGCAGTCATGGGTTTGACAATACATTTACTTGGTGACACCCCCGCCTCTTTACAGCGGGATGATCACATCTGCTTCCGAGAGTCTCGCATCTCTATATTGATCGTCCCTGGCGGTCCCTGATTGTCAGCTAGTTTACGTCCTTCATTGTTACTTCTAACAATGCGCTCTCAATATTGACTCTTCCGCTGGCTTTATTCACTAACTCGATTACCTCGATCCTTGTTATCTGTCAAACCCTTACGTATGGAAATGTCCTTTTCTCTCTTAGGGACTGATGGACCCTTTCATTTCCACCACCATTTTCATGTGGTAACCGGCTGTGCACCTGCACAAGCTCGTTGACGGCACCCCAAGAAGCGGCAACAGCAAGAAGCGATGCTCCGCTTCTCCGTATCAGTGCACGTGATCAAAATCTCGGAAGAGGGTGGGCAAGGCGATAATCTCCTGTGTAATATATTAATGTCTTTGACCAGGCTCAAGTAACACCGCAACGCCTCCGCCTACGGGTACTCCCGGAATGTGTTTCGTCTTGAATACAGTGAATAGGATTTTGGTCTCTTCGCTGCCGCTTTCTCCCACAACGTTAATACAACTCTCGTGGTACACTTTTATTGCGACTTCGGCTAATATCCGCATTCAAACCCTCGCTGTGAGATATGCACAAAAGTACTCCTGCTCAAGAAACCTCCGCACGAAGCACCTCATCAGATCTTCAATAAGATCCACCCGACTTCCTCGATGGACGCATGTATCCACCAACGTCGACATACTCCGGTCACTGGCAACCCCTGACTGTCATCTCGGTGTTGTATAGGCCGTGTAGAGCAGTGAGCGATGTTGGGAAAGATCCACCGATTACTGTACGTGCCATGTTAGGTGCGCAGACCCTGATGGGAAATTGTTTCCATGGAAGTAAAACCTTTCGTCGTCGTCTGCGCAGCTCCGGTTATTGTTGGTGACAGTGCGCAGATTACAATCCTGAGGTTTTCAAGATGCTCTTTTACCGGACAGATATGCACCTGGCAGCCTCCTCGCTTATATGTCTACTGTCAGCAGAGAAGAATTCTGAGCTCAGAGCAGTGCAAGAATGGTAGCAGATCAATGTCTGTGAACGTGACAGACTGGAGATGCAGATGCAGGCAGCAAGGGGACCGTCCAGGGCAAGGGAGTTGTTGAGGAAGAGGAAGAGGAGGGATCAGCAGAGGCATAGAGAGAATCAGTCTGACTCCCTGAAGACGATAAGGCAGACTTGGGTTTCACTCAAGTCGACGCAGCAATGGCAGGTGAGGAGTATGGAAATGTGCTTGAAGAGAGGTTTGCAGACATAGTATACTGGTGACTAGATACCATGCAATGTACATAAACACTGCTGTAAAAGTGCGCAAAGCTATCTCAACGTGGTGACACAGGGAAATTATGCGCAGCCGACAGTGGTGGTGACAGGTGACGTGCGCACCTAACATGGCACGTACAGTATCTCTCAGATAACCGCAACGGGTTTTGTTGTGTTCTAAGCGTTTCTGGTCGAGAAACCATCTTGTCCTGATGCAGGTGGCAATTTAGGAGACCTCGGCAAACACCGCTTTCTGGACAAAGAAGAACCTCACCTCCGCAGAAGTGGTAACCAAAAAAAGAGACGAGTGCTTTGTAATGACCTCTAATTCAGACGGAGAACTCAGATGAAGACGGTGGATGATCCAAGAATATGCAGGCTTGAAAAGACCCCTCACAAAACTCCAGGTCATCATGAGCGTAACGATGACCAATATCGTGATGCAGACGTTAGGTGATATCTTCACCAGTTTGCACTGTCCATGCAGTACGCTTATCACCTCGAAGACCGAAATCCCCATGGTTGTGTTCGACAACAATAGCGCCATCGAACACGAGGCAGATATCCGTAAGCATTAGGTGGTTGAACAAGACAGTGAGCGCAATATACTTCCAGATTCAGCGAGAACCTTGTCGGATCACAGTGGCAGACTCTGGCATGGGCGTAAGAAGCACATGTGTGCACCAAGCAAACAGATGCGGGGCTGGCGACTCGAGGCCAAATCGGAAGAATACATGGATTCTCGTGGAGGTGGATATCATCGCCTCGCCTGTCCAACACATTCATCGCGAGGCGCTCGGTGTGCCGGCAGATAAGAGACATGATTCGACCAGCCATTGTAACGGAACTGGTTGGCCATGCTGGGAAACGCGGTGCACAGCCAAACCCGGAAGCAGCGAGAATGATCCGCACGTATTAGGAGCTGTATAATTTGTTGGCCAAGTGATGAACAAAAACCAGCATCACATGATAGTCTTCTATTCCGCCAGCAGATATATACACACATGAGCCCCGCCATCAAGCCCCGCACCAACGGAGTGTGTTACGGAAAGATGCAATATAAGTGCCATGCAGACACCCGAATATTGTGCGGTTGTTGGGGAGGCATGTTGTTGAGTAACGAGTGTAATTGATATTTATTGTGTCACCCTACAGTCTTGATAAACCCCATTAAGGTAGGCGGCCCGGGTCATCTAATCCGCCTTGGCGACCGGAAGATATCGTTGCTGGGTGGACAGCCACAATTCGGCGAGGACATCATTAGCTTGATCTGCCGTATCGGCGAGTGTACGCCCACACGAATTTGGATATCCACGAAAGACTCGAAGCGGCGAAATTCATTGTTCATTTTTGGAAGCTAGCAATAAGCGTCGATCTGTCAGGATTTAAAGTATGACGGGTAAAAGTAGTGTCGCGGGTGCACATCTTGACAACAGGGTGACAATCGAGTGGGCGGCAGGACCGAGCGCAACTTTCTTCCGTGCTTCTCTTCCACCCCATCAGGAAATTAGGGAATCGATGGCAACGACATTAAGGGGCAGGTGACACGCAAGCAGCACGAATCCGATACACCCACTGATGCAATGCTTATTCTGGTTACTCACGGGCGGCCAACACATTGTGCAGTTGTGTTCACCGTATAACTGCGAGCAGGCGCCGACGTGAACGGAGCGCTTCTTGATGCTCATCCCTGACCTCAAGACTTCCCAGATAAAAATCTCTCCTTTCGCGCCGTAGGGATCCGCCTCACTCCCTCTTGGTCTACTCCTCTGATATCGGACGTGCCCACAGGCTCAGTCTTCTGTCGACGACTATCCACTGGTCACTGTTTTGAACTTGCTTGCACCTGAGTACTCTGTGGTCTTCCACGCTCTATTCACAACCTTGGGAAGTTGTGGAATATACTTATTGTATACGTTCTCGACATTTGAATAAGACATGCAACTTCTTTAGACGCTTTATAGCGTCAGCACTACCGTACGCCCTTGTACTACTCGTTGCCACTGGTCGTCATGTTAGCCCTACAGATGTCTCAGTTCCTGTCAAAACTGGACAAGCCGACAGACCCTCCCACAACACCGCTGTCGACTTCGAATCATCTGAATGTACAATTTCACTTCGAACGTATGGACTCCACAACCAGGCATTCTATTAGCCTTAGTGATTACACCTCACCCGATGATTCGAAGGTGTCTGTGACTGTATGCACCGACACGAGGAAGGAGACATCGAATAAGTCCGACATAGATCCTCGGAGGAGAAAGCCTCAATCCAACCACATGCGACGGCCATCAACCGCGCCCGCCTCATCCCAGATGATGCAACACAAAAGAACGGATTCGTCAGATCGTTCTTTCCTCGAGCTGTTATCTGGCCCGAGCACGCCCGGATCGCGCGTCAATGGCCAGTCCGGTGCCACGTTCCGAAACACGCGCTCTGCCACAACCCCGTCCGAAGACTGGCGAGTCGAAGGAGAACCAACCTCGTCACGCAGCACCACCCAAAAAGCCTCGCTTCCTTCGTTGGTCGTTAATAAATACCCCCCTCGTCCTCACTCAGGCGCCCCGCATCTGTCCGCTTCAAGCCGGAACATGATTACATTCGATCGAATTGTCGATTCGTCAGCTCGGGCGGCGATCACGCGGTCTGTCGTCTCACCTTCAATGGCCAATTTAAACACCATACCCGGGTCGAATAGGGCTTCCCATTCGCGGCGAACGAGCTCTTTGTCCCTAGGCGGTGGAGGAATTCAGCACATCGTCTCAATGGGAAGCTCAATGGACTTCGGTAAATTCATGCCTCAAACAACAACATCGCCTCGATCGGCATCGTTCAATACAGTCGGTAGAGTGGCTTCGCCAGTCGATGTCAAGCGTTTGCTCACTAAACCAGCCACGCCTGTGGGAAATTATTCCGGCGGCAACGTCGGACGCACAGAAGATGTATCGACTCTATTGTCGTCACCCACCACACCGCTATTTGGCTCCGAGGCCCCCTCCTCCCCACGATCCTCCGAGATACGTGTTCATCAGGTTCTTCAATCCGAATCAACACCCCAGTCCCTGAGGACACATGTAAGCCCCTGGACCTCAGCAACGGCGTATGAGGAAGTCACCAAAGCGCAACCCGTCCCGGAGATAGGACAGCACACAACTACAAATGCGCGGATCATTCGACCCACAACGCGTGGGCGAGAGCATGCAGGTTTGCATACTTATAGCTCCGGTGGAGAAGGAATTGGCGAAAGCCCACAACCAAAGCAACTGAAGCGCTCCTCGTCAACCCGTCCCGGCGATAGGAACGGGAACGGTAAGCGCTCCTCGACATTTATCAAGACGGACGGATACTTGAGCGAATCCTGTGTCCGGCTGCCCAAGGTCCAAACCGCCCTCACCCCTGCAGCGGCCGTTGCTTTGGCATACCGCTCGCAGTCGCGTACAGGACATCGGGAGGAACGGGCAGTTGTGGATCCGAAGGTTGCGCCTTGGGAAAGCCAACCAGATCTTCCTGTTCAACTGCCGACCCCTGCCCCAAGCGAATGGGGAGATCTCTGCACACCCAGCGGATTCCGAAGATTAGGAAGAAAACTCTCGCTCAAGCGTTCAGGAGATGAACAGCCGCATGTTCCCACGCGGGAAGAGGCGAGGCAGCGGGCCCGCTCTTTTGACCAGCCAAGGCCACGCGACCTGCCTGGGAAGACGTCTCTCGACGCCAAACGTCCAAACATTACAAAGTCTGTTGCACCACCCACAAAGACCACGCAGGTGGTGTCTGCACCACAGCTCTCAACCCCCGAACCCCGCACGAAACCTCCAGCCAGACCGCCCACACCCGCCGAGCTTCCAGCTTCCGAAGAACACAAGCGCCGCCCCTCGTTTGGTCAGCAAATAGGTGGCTTCGTGCGGAAACTATCTAATCCAAACCTTCGGACCACGCGAAAAGAGAAGGAAATCTCGTCGATGCCTCCCGTACCTCCTCTGCCTACGCTGCTGAAGGAGAAGGCTGAGCTGGAGACGCCTGTGAGGGGGAAGACAGTCCGTGTACCTCCTGTGCCTGCGATCCCGATTCGTTTGACAAGGGGTAGCCCGGTGAGCGACCGCGACCATGAGGAGGATAAGAAGGCAGACGAGAGCGCGCTCCAATCTGCAGGGAACAGCGTCGAGTCGCTAGTCGCTTTCCCTCAGGAATCACCTTTTACCCCGAAGAGCACGCCTCTCCGTACCTCCCAGGAGAAGGAAGCGGACAGGCATCAGAAGGACCTGGCACGAAGGAAGAGGAACAATTCCCCCCCACATCAGTTGGACATACAGATATCGCCTGTCACGGTTCCAGAAACTCCAGTCCGTCACCCAGGACGATCAAGACGCAGACCAAGCGTGAAGGAAGTGCTCGATCCAGCAGTTTCCAAGAACCAAGAACAGACCACCCAGCCCGCTCCGGCGAGGAGGAAGGGTGATCCCCCCCCGCCCGAACCGATTCTCGGACCTGTCCTCTCTGAGGAGGAAGAGCAAGCCCAAGCTCGCCGAAGAAGGGCGTCCAAAGCCAGACGGGAAAAAGTCCACAACCTGAGCATCTCCGTCTCCGATCCCCGAAGTTTCGGGGTGCAGGCCGTCTCCCACCAGCGGAGCCCATCGCTAGGTTCTACCACTCCCCGTCCAACGGGGATGACTTCCCCTGGGTTAACGGGAAGAACATGCAGCGAGGGAGACGCGACACCCTTTGGTGAACGAAAGTCTCTGTATACCGTTGCAGGGGTATTTCCCCCGCCCCGGTCGGCATCGATTAACACGCCTTCCCCTTCTACTACTACTCCAGCGAAGCCTAGCCCATCCCCGATGAGCCCTCCTTCCTCCACGCCGTCGATGGCGCTCAAATCGATGAAGATTCCAGGAGGGAAGGTGCCCCTGAGTGAGCATCAGAAAGCTGAGTTGTGGGAGGAGCTGCTGAGGCGATGTGAGGAAGCAGGGGGGACGCTGTTGCTGAAGGGTGCGGAATAATAACCGCACATCACACTGCTCAATGTTATAACGCGCCGACGAAAGGTAAATGTCACAATTTCCCACTGGGTTGAAACATTCGTTGTTGTTCAGTCTCCTTATTGTTGTTGCATATTTCCTTCCTTGAACACTTGTCTACGATGATGATCCACTCCAAATGTATCCATAAGATCCATATAGACATACCGCTCGCTTCGATACCCATGGACAATCAACGATGGTCGCGTTTATTTATAACAACCACTTTGTAACTGGATAATGGTGTCCAGCAGGTACGCAGTCATGTGCTTCATTTGCTTGGTGGTTCGATGGTGATGGTACCATTGAGGACAACGTCCCGTGCCTGTGGGAGGTCAACCCTGAGAGGCCAAGTCCAAGTCCGACGTTGTCGCCTACCTTAGTCCATCACTCAATCAATCCCCTCAACAGCATCTTCACTCCCTGGTCAACATTTTTCTATCCGTTCACCATTCATCTGTCAACATCAACAATGGGATCTTCTCAGTCGTCCCTCATCATCACCGCCGCCGTCGCCATCGTAGGACTCGGGCTCGCCTACGTGTTCCTCCGCCCTGCACCTCCTCCGCCTCCCTCTCTCAAGCGGGGTTCGAGCACCATTGCACCTTCAGCATCCAGCAAGAAAGGGAAGAAGAAGAAGAAGGCTTCTCCCGCTGCTGCCTCGTCCAGTGCTCCAGGAAAGGTTGAGGAGAAGCGCCTTCCCGGCGCTCTGGTTGAGGATAGCGAAGCAACGAGCACCACTGTTCCCGACGAGCCAGCACCTACACCAGGCGCAGGGAAAAAGAAGAAGAAATCGAAGTCCGCATCTTCATCCCATGCCGCCGGTGCGCCGGTCACATCTGGCGGAACGCGTGTTCCCCCTGTGCCACAGCGTACCGCAGGTCCCAGCACGAGTGCGGCTGACCCGGACGGCCCTTGGACGCGCGTGGAGACTCGTCGTTCTGCGCGCACCGCTAATCATGCCTCTGGAATTGCTGGGATTGCGGCAGGGACAGGCGGCTCGGATCGCCATGTGGAGGGGAGTATTGGGGACATTACGACGAGCGTGACTGAGGAAGACAGCGGGATCGGAGAGGTGGGTGAAGCTGCAGAAGGAGAGGAGGGTGAGAGCGAGAAGGGGCCTTCTGGGGTGATGAGGAGTACGGTGGAGAGGATGCTTCCTCGACCGAGGAAGACGGCCGTGGATGAGTGCGTATCCCTCTCACACCGTGCGCGTTAGTGTGTGCTCACTGAGTTTCCCAGCATGCTAGAAACACCTGCACAGTCCGTCTCACGCGTCATGCGTGTCAAGCCGTCTGCCGAAGAACGTCCCGCTGCTGGATTTTCCTGGGCAGACTACGAAGATGTCGAGGACTCTGCTGGTGGAGCCGGGGCGGAAGAGGCGGACGACGAGGGAGAGTGGGGCATTGTCAAGAGCCGAAACCGACGAGCGAGTGCGTCTTCTTCTCACTGCTACCTCGCACCACTGACATTGGGAACAGCTTCTCACAATGGGTTTGCCAGTTCCTCCGGCTCCACACCCGCGTCTCGTCCAGCCAAGGCAAGCGAGACGCTGACCAAGAAGCAGCGACAGAACGCGCGGAAACGCGAAGCGGACAAGTCGCTTCGATCGGACCAGGAGGCGGAACGGCTGGCGCTGCTTGCACGGCACAAGCGGGAGCTTGAGAACGAGCGCATGAAGGAGCAGGCAAGAGGTTCTGGAGGCGCCAACAAGAAGCTCAGCGGGGGGATGAGGGCGTCGGTCAATGAAAAGGGCGCATTGGTTTGGGAATAGCATCGAGTGGGACTGACTGAGGCTGATGATCTTGTTTGACATGGCGAGAACGTTGTCCATTGACAAGTCTAGGTAATATATGCGTCGTCAATGCAGATGTATGCGCCGTGGACGACGCGCCTGGCATATACGCAGTGGTCTTCCCACAGCAGAGGCAGTCAAATGCGAGTGATGCACTCACTACCTTTATGCTCACTGACTATCATCACCGTTTGCGGTGATGAACTTTCCTGGACAGTTGCCAGTGACCCCCTGCATGTATGTGGTAGGTGATATCCCACCAGGAAGGACAGTGGGGATCACGCTGCTCTCCCACTTACCCTTTCCGTTCTCTTTTCCTATTCTTGCCTCACATCAGCCAACGACACTTGTATTTCTTCTCCCATGCTCCATGCTACGTGCGGCCATCTGCCGTAGGTCGTTCGCAACCGCTTTTCGCACCTTCTCGACATCTCCGGTCACACAAACAGCCCCCCATTTGTCATACCCTTCCCATGCCCATCCAACTCCCCATGAAATATTTCACCTCCGTCGCACGGCTTCACAGGATGAGATAAAGGAGAGATGTATGCCGACAGCATCTTATTTATCACTTGGAGATAACTCATGCGGTCGTAGATTATGAGCTGGTCCGCGTGCATCATCCAGACTCGCCCACCTGCCGACACGAACCGGATGACATCCGTCAGGAGCGTTTCAAGGCCATTACTAAAGCGTATGACATCCTAAAGAGTACCCGCAGTCCTGCATACATCGAAGAAGTTCAGAGACGACAGACACAGAGTAAATACCCCCATCAAAATCCCACGAGACGTCACCAATTCGCATATGGGGTGCCTGAGGAGAGGTTGATGGGTGTGGGGAGCAGTGATGTCGCTATAATCGCGGCAATGCTAGTACGTAGAACTACTCTACTACGTTTTTGGGATTCTGACAGAGTATATAGGTGGTTCTTGGATCTGTCGCCCTCGTTTACTCTCCTTTCTCCGCACGACAACGAGTGGACAAGTATCGCGCCTCAGCATCGCACGCATTGGCCGATGCAAGAAGGGAGAGCAAGGGGGAAAGGGAATTGAGCGTGGAAAGTACAGAAATAAAATCAGAAGGGTTATAAAGAAACAGAGCAAGAGGGCGTCACGCCTGAGGAAGGACAAAGATCTGATTGCCTGCCGAAGTCGCCATCCAGCAACTGAAGGCCAATTTCACTGTAAATTGTATCATTACCCGTATTAACGGCAGCCTCATCTCCATATAAAGGATTGACAGTAAACAGCAAAACTCTACACATAAACAGAATCGACAGCGATATAACATTCCCGGTACACGGCAAAGTTCACAGGGATAGCATCCACATATGATAACATCCACAACAGCTGTGCATCCATGCGCATGAATAGCATGCATATCTGTCAGAAATCCCAGCTTGTGGGGATCGGGAACTCTGGATCTATGATAGCCTTCAGCTTGTTCATCATTTCGTGGCTGGAAGTATTGGCATCGACCCTGCAGTCGCAATGTTGAATATAGTCATCTTGCACATTGTTGACAAATGCGGGACTGAATATGGTAGAAGTCGTTGGCAAATCAAGCAGCTCAAGCTTGACAGCAGCAATCCAAGACACCAGCCACGGATGAGTCGATTGACACCTCGGACAAGTGGGCAGGCCATAGACTTCGCGATTGGGTCCAGAAATGAAGCCTTCCAGACGAGAGTGGATGGCCCTAGCCCTGTCGTGACGAGCGGTAAGAAGACGAGAAGGCACATTGGCTGGGAGGATCTGCATTGGACTATTCAACAGCTTGTCTTCGGAGAGTTTGAAAGTCTGTTCGATGGCTTGGCCCACCAGCTCCGGAAGGTGGTGATCCATGCCAATTGCCAATAGATCCAGAGGACGTCGGTACAAGTAATCCGTCCCAAGCAACTCCACCTTGCGATCATTCGTAATTTCGTGCATGTTGAAGGTGCTTGCAACCTTCATTCTTGCTATGAGGATATCGATATTAGTTGGCTCCGAAGAAGGGGGCAGGCCATAGATCTTCGAAAGTAAAAAGTCCATCACTGAGCTGGTCTCGTAAATATTGACACGCAGATGTTCAATTTCCACTTTGGCTGGGAGGTCATATGTCTCAGCAAAGCTTGCTGATGCATATCGAATGACTGCGGAATGCACAACGAATTGAACACCATCCGAACAGCACAGAATAATATCTGCAGTCGATTTCAAGGCAGGGGTCAAGGTGAACGGCATGATGAAACGGAGATTGAATGGATTGAATAGAAACAATATGTGGGTGCGTTGCTTCCTGGTTCTTAATGGGTGTCAGAACAGGGTATATGCACAATATATGCGTGCATATATGAACTTCAATGCTTATACTTACCTGGTCCCAGCGACTATGTGTTGCAGAAGTCCCAATGTCTGTTGTTGACTATTGTTCCTTCTTGGCCAGAAGTTGTACAGGTTGCAAAGCTTTGATCTGGTCTATGCTAAGCGTTGAAGAGTCAGGGCTGGAAGGCAAGTTAGCATTGGCCAAGGGAAGAGACTTACAGACCCACAAGGAAGGGGAGTTCTTAAAAGTGTAGAGGGGATGGTGGTGGAACAGAACAGAGATGGAGATGGGAAGACGACTCAATGTCTGCTATTTAACTGTCAGCGGAGTCAGAACTTGGTTAGCCGGAAGTGTGACCACTCACTGATGTTGTACCCTGGTGATATCTTTTGCTGATCACAGCTCCCTTCAAATCATTAGCAAGGGGGCTCTTCCCAATTTGGAAAGCATGCTTGCCAGATGTGATAACCAAGAGTAGTCCTTAGCGTCGAACCGGGAGGTCAAAGCGTCAGCGGTGTTGCGCTCAGGCCCACCGCCTATCCGCAAGGATTGGACACGTCTAGGTCCTCTTCCCTTCTAGTGCATGAACAGACCTTGCAAGATTCAGTGAGGCCAAAAGCAATTGAGCAACAATAGTTAGACCAGGATATGACTTCAACGGAGTTCTGCAGGGTTAAGATGAGAGAATCTTTGCCTTGTCACAATATATTAACACTCACTCAGTTGTAAGTAATGTTCACATAGTATGGAAATGCGCGTGACTCTGTGATAGCACAGAGTGGGCCTGAGCGGTGGACCGGGACCCAGAGCTTGGAGATGTGGCCAACCCATGCTCATGCCCAGCTGTCTGTGAGGGTGAAAGTTGCTGAGGCCCTAGCTTGTGGTGACGAGAGGATGGACGGCAACAAGGGGGTGGATGGTGGCGAGAGAAGGGATGGTGGGAAGAGGTCAAACTGCCACAGGGAAGTAGAGGTCCAATGGAACATAATGGGATTGACGAATGCCCATGAATCAACTGCATATATGCGGGGTTGGGGGAAGGCGAGGGACTCTGTAAGGCAGCGTGGATGAGTGTACGCGCGAGTGAATGATGTGAACAAGCTCACCTTGCATTGCATTGTCTGGATTGGGGTATCGCGCATCGATCTGCAGAATCTGTATTCAGTATTCCGAGTGCAGCATACAATCCGTTAGTGCACTGGCTGTTATCATCCCTAGCTCGTCAGTCTGCGGTTACTTATCGATGATATTCGGGCTGATAGGTCAGGAAGGTGGTAAATAACGTGCTTATCATTCAGTTCCCCGACGCACTCGTTTTTTGTTGTTGTGTGAGCAGATTGACGAACTTCGAGATGCAGGCCTTATAAGTGAGAGAAATGAGAACCGAGTCGTATTGTCTAACTACGATAATCTCCATTGATCGTTACATAATCCTATCTCAGCATCAGTCCACTGCCCGAAATAAACGAAAGAAAAGAACGCACATGACTGAGGTCGCACGTATAGTACCGTGCGCTCTCCCCACCCTCACCCAGCACCACGCGAATCTCCAGATCCTCCATCTGGAGGATCTGTTTCGCGCGCACCTCGTCGACCTTTTCGGGCTCGCCGTTGACGAGCAGTTTGAGCTCCGTGCTCCCGTCGCATGGGAGGAAGGAGACGCTGACCTTTTGTGGGTCAGGTGGGTTCGAGACGGGTGCAGCGCCGACGGCGGCGAGGATGCGGCCCCAGCTGTAGATAGATCAGTATACAGTTAATGAAACAGTGCAAGAGTGAACTCACTTAGCGTCCTCGCCATACAGCGCGGTCTTGACGAGCGAGCTGGTTGAGATGGTGCTGGCGATGGTGTGTGCGTCGGAGAAAGAGCTCGCACCCTCGACGGAGACAGTGACGAACTTGGTCGCCCCCTCTCCGTCGCGGACGACGAGCTTTGCGAGCTCAGTGGCAAAGGCGGTGAGCTCGTCCCGGAACTGGGTGTACAGCTCCGGGTCAGCGAGCTCGTCGATATCCCGCTCCATCCCGCTCGCTCCGTTCGCCAGCGCGACAATCGTGTCGTTTGTGCTCATGTCACCGTCGACGGAGATGCTGTTGAAGCTCCGTTCGACGGCGAAGGTGAGCGCCGACTGGAGCGCGGAGGGCGAGACTGCGGCGTCAGTCGCGATGAGCCCCAGGAGTGTTGCGTGGGGCGGGGCAGGAGCGGTGCTGGGTGAGGGCGGTCCCATGTCTGGGTGGATCATTCCAGCTCCTTTGTCTATGCCAGCGATCCTAACCTTCTTGCCGGCGAGAGTGAAGGTTCGAGCGCGGAGCTTGTAGAACGTGTCGGTTGTCATGAACGCTTGGGCGGCGCCTTGCCAGGAAGCGAAGGAGGCGCCGAGGTTGGCGTGTGCGAGTGCGATACCGTTGAGGATGTTGGTGATGGGCAGGGTTTGGCCGATGACGCCAGTGGACATAACGAGCGTCTTACTCGGTGCAGCACCGGCTGATACGGGCTGAGCAACACCGTCTGCCGTATCCGTCCCCCCAGTCCTCGCTTCTCGCAGCGCATCCACCGTCCTCACCATGTCCCTGGCATCCTCCATGCCCTGCTTGCCCGTCACCGCATTCGCACACCCAGAATTGACGACCACTGCCGCCGCCCGCCCTCCAAACTTGAGCAGCACCTCCTGGCTGACCAGCACAGGCGCAGCCTTGAACACGTTCTTCGTGAAGCAAGCTGCTGCAGACGTGTGCTCGGCGGTAGACACCACCAATCCCAGATCGTTCGCACCCCCGCGTTTCTTGATCCCACAATGCACCCCAGAGGCAAGGAAGGAGCGGGGGAAGGCGTTATCAGGGATGTCGTGGGCAAGGTGATCTTTTGAGGGAGGGGAACGACGGGGTGTAGAGGGACCGCTGGCTACAGGATCGTGAGAAGCAGAGGCCGACATGCAGCGAGCAGCGGGAGGGAGAGAGAGTCGCAGACGCCGGACGCCAGCAGGGAATGCACTCAGGCGAGAAGCCATCGTACCTAGCAGAGACTGTGTCGCCAGAGCAGAGTCCTCTTAAGTAAAGCAGGTGAGGGGCGTCAGAGGGCGTCGAGAAGGGGGGAATGGACGTCGAGGAGAGGGGAGAAAAGGACGGTCTGCCCGCTGTGTGTGACGTCGCTCTCGGCCGGCGAGTCAGGGTCAATAGGGCATCTTAGCCACCAAAAGGAATGGACGTCATTGGATAGTTTTATTATTGGATCATCACAATTAGAACAGTAAAATGCACAAGATATGAACAGGCCAATCGGTATGTTATCATTCGAATAGTCTGATTAATTACTATCAATGAAGCACGGTTTGAATGTAATGATATCAGTGTGTGTGTAGGGACGATAAATGGAATCTCTCCCAACCCATCGACGAGGGCAGCAAGGCTGTCTATATCCCATCACTCTCCCACCTCTCCGTTCCCGCTCCCCCCCATTGCAACCCAAAAGGGATACAGGGGAGCAGGGCAATCCCAAGCGGACTGCGAAGGCGGTAAAGAGAAAAAGAGACGGTGACGGTCAGTCGGTTTTTTGTAGGTAGGCCGGATAATTAGCGGACGCAGATAGCTCCGAGTAGCTCCGAGTAGGGCCCTAAAGGGAAAGTTCAGGTTCAAGTGCTCAGTGCCAACACAGAGTCCTTTGCGCTTGTCCTCATCCCTCCAACTCGCCTCTCAACCACCATGTCAAGAAGAGCGTACGTATTTTACATACTCTCTTTGGTATATATTAACCCGTTCCAGGAAAAACGACCTCATCGTCCGTGTCCGCTACCAAAACCCGCTCCCTGAGCCGCCTTGTCCTCCGAAACTGCTCAACATCCCCACCACACCCGCACGTTATGCTCAGCCCAGCTTCACAGATACTTTGTTTGACGCCAGGCCATTCCCGATGGTCATAGATTCGGAGTTTGGGATGCCTTTGGACTTGAGCAAGTTCCCGTTGCTGTGGAGAGAAGAAGAGGAAGATCCGCGTATGTCTGCTCATAAGCTTTTGCACCCTTGCAACTGAGCTTTCGCGAGTATATGCGCATATACTGACGCTGTTGGCCAGAATTAAATCCCACGCAAGAAGCTGTTTTGGACGAACGCGACAGGTTTCTGTTGGAGCACATATCCGCCAACACCTCAGGCACACTCAGCGCGCTACCGAACGTGCCTTGGTTGCGTCAAACCACGTACATATCACGCGAGTCCGTGAACCGCACCTCCTCATCCAACGCAGTCGCCAACGCAGCCCGAGAAGGAGCAGCCCAGCAACCTGTGGACGTGAGCCGTGATCGTCAACTGAGGCTGGTAGAGGAGAGCTTTGCAGCTGTCACTGCAAATGCAGACCTGGGAACGTTGAAGCACCCAAACAAGCCTGGTGTGACGGCTGTGGAAGTACTGGATATATTACCGGACGAGATGACATGGCCGACAAAGTTGGACGTATACCGATTCTCAGAGCGGCCAGGAGATAGGGATATCGAGGTGCGTGGTTCTTTCCTCGTGTTATCAAGAATGGGGCTCATGTATGCACATAGCAACCCGACCCGCGTCTCGACTCTGCTATCATACGACCGATGAAAGTCGAAGACGAAGACACATGGTTGGCATACTATCTGCTAGCGGACGACGCCGCCGTTGCAGCATACAAGTCCAGGCTTGCTGCGTTGCCGGAAGGGGCGTCAGAGGAAGAAATGAGCGAATTCCGTTTCGTTAGGGACTACGAGACGATGAAGGTGATGGAGGAATGTGTCAGCGACTGGCTGATGGTGCTGGACGATGGGACCGAGACTGGTAGGAAACCGGGAGCATACTACAAAAATATTGAGAGGCGGATGTGGTTGCGAAAACGGCGCGTGCGAGTATGCCTTCCATCCTTCTATTCTCCCTCAAACAGATGTACTGACGTTCCCGCAGAGAAACGACAACAACAACCAGGCTTCGCGTTGGGACGCGATCCAGTTACGCCACGCACCGATGCAGGAGGCTGAGTTGGCCGACTTTAGAGAGGCTCAAGCAGAGGTGCAAGACCCGGAGTTCTGGACACGAAAGGCGCTCGAGGCTGAGATTGATGCGGAGGGAGAGGTAGATGTAGATGCGGAGGGAGAGGTGGAGATGGAGGACGGGGAAGCCGAGCATGAGGTTGAGGGCAGGGGAACTCCAATGCCGACCGACGCCCATCCTGAGCCCAATGGGGAGATATAGGTTTCTGTGTGGGGTTGATGCGCGATCTGTATTCTGAGGTGCATGTTTGTATTGTTTAGTGTTGCACCTGGGCGTTTTGATCTCCTGAGGAAGACAAATGGTGTGCACAACTGATCATCATTGAGCACCACCGTGCATTCCAACAGCCACCGTCCGCTAAGCACAAATACTGCACGAGACAGCTTAGGAGAAAGAGAGAACAGGAAGGGATAGAATAGCTATGATAATCCAGGGCTTTAAGCGACAATGGGTAAGTAGACAGGAGTCCTTGGGGGAAAAAAAAACGGGACAAAGAATGCGTGAAGCATGATATGCGGAGCAAGAGGGTTGCTAAAAGACCCTGGGTAAGGCGAATGTATGAAGGTGGGTGCGAAGTTGTGGTAGTTAGTTATACAACTGAGGTGGGGAGAAAGGGGGTCAGCGCCTTGGGCTGGCAGGAGCCGCAGTCTCAGGCGGGAAACGTCGTTGCATCTCCTGCCACTCATTCATGGCAATCAGGTCTTCTTCTGTACCTGGACGGCCCCAAGGTTGGTCGGGACGGCCACCTGGTGGTGGTTGCCGGGGTCCAGGTTGGTTTCCAGAAGCGGACACTGACCGTCCTGGCAACCGACGAGGATCGCCTTCTGGAGGAGGTGAACGCATGACGTCTCGACCGTCCATGGGAGGAGGATAAGGACCTTGTCGCGGTATCTGCATCTGTGGAGGTGCGTGCGGATGAGGAGGATGCGGCATCGCTGCGCCCGGAGGACGCATGCCAGGGGGTATTTGGTTTGGATTCATTGGTCGGGGAATCATGGGTCCGCCAGGAAACACCATTCCCGGTTGGATCATTCCTGACTGGAGTGCGCCCGGGGTTAGGACACCTGGTGGAGGCCCTCCAGGTCCGAATGGCATACCCATAGGTGGGCCACCAGGCATAGGGGCACCGGGGGGGATACCAGGAATAGGTGCGGACGAGGGTCGCGCTTGAGGTCCATTCATCCATGCTTGTTGAGGAGGCATGGCTCCAGGCGGTAGGTTCCAACCGGGGGGTGGCGACATCGCAGGAGGTCTGCCAGGTCCAGGCGGACCAGGAAATCCGGGGCCAGGTGGAGGGCGGAATATCTGACCAGGCTGGATGCCACCAGTGCCAGGGCTGGGACCGCGATGCGGTCCAGGTGGCATTGGGATGCCAGGACCGCCGGGACCTGGAGGACCACGCAGAGGCTCACCTGGACGGACGCCAGGTGGCGGTTGCGCTCGCTCAGGGCGGCCATTGTCGGACGGTGGGGTTGCAGATGCAGAACTAGTTCGTCGCGGCGCATTACCACCGCTGGAAACGCGGTTGGGCAGATGATACGGCTGACCGGGATTCTGTGGTACCAGGGAAGGATGGGCACCGGGAGGAATCGGTCCAGCTGGAGCTTGACCATTAGGAAGATTTGCCCCTTGGGGAGGCGGTCCACGACCCAAGCTTTCTGGGCCCCGTGGGGAGAGAACACGAGTTTCGGGTGTTGTTCCCCGGCCTTCCCGAGGGGCACGACCTTCCATTGGTGGGCGGCTTTCTGCTCCTTGGGCGAATTGGGGATGTGATTCCGTAAAAGGATTCATCGCTCCGGGAGGCGGTGAGCCCGTACGAGGTCGACCAGCTGAGCCTCCTGGCATGCCGGAATGAGCACCCGGTTGTCCTGGCTGAGGCTGCCTTGATTGACCAGGATGTTGTCCATTTGGCATACCGGGGCGGGACATGCCCTCATGTCCTGGAGCCGCTTGACCTTGTGCAATCATACGATGTTGGACCTCGTATTGCGGCGAGCGGATCGGCATCTCTGCAGAGCGCTGATTGTGGTTGAGACTCCCCGCCGCTTTGGGGGGAGCATGGTTGGCGACTGGTGGAGGTGGGGATGAGGAGCGAAGGGTTGCGGCGTGCGGAGGACTATGGGGTATAGGATGAGGTGGTGAACTTTGTCTTCCAAAACTGTTGCCTCTCTTGAGGAGGGAATCGCGTTCAGATGGTTCTTTGCCGGGGGTGCCGGCACTTTGCGGACGATGTTCCGGTGTCGGAGGTGCTTCTTCCTTTTCTTCTTTCGCTTTCTTGGGAGGGGGATCTTCACCCGCAGGCCGGTTTATGATACCAAGATACCAGAACATAAGATTGCTGATAAGTACCTGGAAAAAGAGTCGTTGGCTTATATGAACTAAAAAGGAGGGGAAAAAACGCACCTGTTCGTAGAGTGGCCGCCTCGGGCTGGCCAGCTTGATATGACTCAAGCGATAAACCGCACGTTCCACATGTATAGGGTATCGGGAAAAGTTATTCAATCCACCAGGGCCCGGACTCGTTGGTCTATGCATATCCTTCCCGCTCTTCGACGCACCCAAGAGTTTCGCAGCGGCTGCCTGCCCCGCGCCTCCACCGGAAAAGAGCCCGCCAGCATGCGGGGACTCTTCCGCTTTCTTCTTCCCGCCAAATAGGGAGCCGAAGAAACCTTCTTTCTCCTTCTCCTTCTCTCGTTCCGAGACAGATGATTTGACAGACGCGTTGTCAGACTGCTTGCTCTTGGACAACTTATGATTGTCTTTTTTCTTCGAGAACAAGCCGCCTTTCTTCTCTTTTGTCGGAGGGGTAACGTGGAATGCAGGTTTTGTGGGAGATGCCGCCGGTGCTGAACGACCAGCAGCATGCGGATGTGGTTCATGCTTTTCGTGTGCCGGATGCACGAGGGTAGTCGTCGACGTGCTCGCAGTTGGCGTAGACGGTACATGAATAGTGGTGGAGCTCGTCTCTTGACTCGTCGCGAGGGACGCGGTTGGGCTAGTAGGTTCCACAGCCGATTTCGGACTTTCGGGAGGGGAGGCGGAAGGGTGGTGGGGCGAGACGGGTGAAGGAGTGCGCGCGGGCTGAGTGGCGACAGATATCGGAGAAGGTATTGCGAGGTGACGTTGAGGCGTTGGATGGACGAGAGCCGGGGCTCTGGCTTCCTGTGGCTGGGGCGGTGTCGGAGGTTGGACTTCAATCGGTAGTGCGGGAGTAGCGATGACCTGAACTTCATGGTCCAACTCAGAGGGAGGATTGGACTCAAAGTCGCCATGCCCCTCATCTGAGATATCAGGAGAGGCAGCACCGTAGCTGTCAAATATAGCCGTCTCGTCCGAGTAGCTGATCGGTCTCTCGCTTGTTGCGTCCTCAGTAGACCTTCCCGCACTCGTTCTGCGAGTCTTCCTCGTGGCTGGGAATCGATGCCCGCCCCCATCACCGGGGAGATTCGCCTTACGGATCTTGGTGCGCGCGGCACGGCGAAGGGTCTGGCCGGGACGAGGCACGATAATAGGGGCATCGGCTTCATCGAGTTCGGCGATATCATCGACAGTATCGAGGACTATAAGAATGAATTCAGAATGATGCCAAGCAGGAGAAATCAGGAGTGAAGAGTGTAGGTACAAAAACGAGACAGATCATGATGGTTGTTTTCAGACCGCGTCTGGACCCCAAGCGAAATGCGCCAAGAAACGATGGAAAGTGACTCACAAGCAGGAGCAACGTTCAAACTCAAACTACGTCTCAACACACTTCTCAGCTTGCTCGGATCATCACTCTTACTCGCTTCCTCCGCAAGCTCCTCGAGCTTTTGTAGGTCATCGATCGTCAACTGTGGCCCATCGTTCTCGCGAAAAATGCTGTTCCGATTCCGTCTACCGCTCGCCATACGCGATGGTAGTGGTACAGGCTCATTCTCGACGCCATCGTTCTCCTTAGGCTGATACTGTCGTGAGAGCATGGATTTTTTCCGTCCGAGTCCAGAGCCTGCGACGGTCGTCTGCGAGTGTGTCGACGGTGACAACGGAGAGGCGGGGATATCATTCTGTGGCAGAGAGCGTGTATGCGCCTTGAGAAACGCGCGGAATTCTCCTGGCGCAAGCTCGGGGTGAAGATGCGCAGGCACCCAGAAGAGGTTGGTCGGATCATCCATTGCCTCTTCTGCAACCTTTGCCTCTTCACTCACGGGGGAAAAGACCTCGGGTACCGTGGGTTCGGACCAGTATCCCTGTTGCCCGATGGGAGAAGTGCTGGTGGGGGAGAGTTCTGGAAGATCCGGGTCGACCATGAGCGAGCCCTTCTCGGTCGAGACGGAGCGTCTGCGTATCTCGCGCAGATTGGAGTACTCCCGCTGTATCTGCGATGGCGACGGCATGTTCGACGCGGGCAATGTGCTGGCCGACATTATGGATGATGGCGCTGCTCGGCGGCGGGATCCAAGCCGACGTCGATATCAGCTAATTAGAGGTGAATAGGGAAGAGGGGAGGAGGACGGTGAGGAGAGGAGGTGAGGGATGGTGGGTGACAGGGAGCTCGTGCGTGTGCACCAGCGAGCAAAGGGACGGCAGCAGCGAGAACCCACACGGCCCAATCGTCGCTCTCAATCACTTAAATTGGTCCCGTGATACAAGGTCATTCATAATGTGTAAGCACATAATGTCTACTTATAAGACATACCCTAACATAATTATGTATTCATTCATGTTATCCTCTCTCCCCCATTTCATCGATCAACTTTTCAGGTACAAACCACCTCCATCCTTCTTCTATTTCCCTTAGTCCGGTTAGTCTCACCATAAATTACACACTTACGCATCGTGTTACCAGCATGCGTCACCATTTCCACAACTCCACTCACCCCTCGGCATTGGCGGCACCCCTGGGAACTGAATGCGATGCGATGCGATGCATGGAAGACTTCGGACAATTAGGTACATTAAAGCGCGCCCTCCCCCACAGGCTAGTCTGCCTCGGGATTACGGATAAAAGAGCATTATGGTCACCCTTTCCTTCAAATCATAAACAACGACATGAAATCCTGGGCGCGTGTCAGCCGCGCAAGCTGTTTTCACATGAGACGGGCCACCTCCATCATACAGCATTCGTGCCAGCATTTCGCATCAATAAGTACGAGTCGTTGCACGTTTGGTCCAGCCCTCTAATCCACGTGACAATGCCTTTTGTGGACTGCAAGTCCTATTCTATACTTGTTTTGCTGTCCGACAGGGGTTTCTTATCCCAAAAATAGTTGGGGGATCAGCCGGAGAAACCTGGTTCCACCACCGTCACAATGGATGGGCCGATCGGAATCTTGTCCGAAACGCTCAATGCTGGCACTGTACGCTGGATAGGAACACCCAGATTGTCAGGAGGAGAAGTACTCAGCGTTTGCAGATCATGGGATAATATGACAAATTATTACCTCATGAGTATTCGTTTTTCGGGCCGTTTCAACAACGGCAAGGAACGTCACTGAACACGCTGTTTTTTGGGGACGCGTTCAGGGCCCAACTGGACTTGGTGGCCACGGAACGCATATTGTCCCCTCGACTGCTTGACTGCTTCAAGTATCTAGACGGTGCAGGAAGCTCAATATGCCCAACGATCTGCATGTGAAGTACTCGGTGGGCAAGAAGGGCGCGTTCCCAAAAGAGCTGGGGCTCATCTCGGCTACATCGTCGCGAGGCACGACGATGGCAATGGCCACAACACGGAAGACACTAGACTTGGTGAGTTTGGACGCGAGGTGAAGCGACGACATTCTCATACAGCATCAAGACTTCGAAACGCAAAAAACCATCAAAGCGGGAGGGAAACGTATGGATGGTCAATATTGAGGGCTACACGGCTGAGATGCGAAAGGTGCGCGTTTAAGGTGGGTTAACATTGTGCAAGACTCAGCAGAGCGCCTAGTTGTATATCGCCACCCATCCGGTCTTCTCCTCCGCCCAGCTTCTGTGGGACACAGAACGGCGCGATAATCCCATTACAACCGATATTGGGTAGCTGTTTTGTGTTTGAATCTCTGAAAGCAATGCTGATGGTCAAGTCAGTCTCCCCTCCCAAACATCCGTCGCGCACTACAGTCGCTGCTGGGCGCAATACCGACGACAAATCGACAATGCGGAATCACCTTCGCCTGAGCTCCAAGCAATCTCTTCCATCGTCTTCCTTGTCCAGGTTCTCTACCTTCCCGAGAGCGGATTCAACACTGGCATCGTTGGTGAAGAACTATTGGATTGGCTGAATACTATTGATGTAAGACCGACGACCGAGGAGGTAGAGGAATTCTCACAAGAGGACGCGTGGAAGTTAGATGGTTTCTGGAGCTTCTTACAACGGTCCGCATCCTACAATGCCCGCTTTATACGGTGTTCTGATGTCTACCAGGCTAGTGCTTCGAGGCCATTTCGAGATGGCTCAAGCAGTCCTCGAGCGACTCATGGATCAACATCCCTCCGCGATTCTCAGCAACGTCATCCGCACATCCCTCATTCCTCTCCTGGAGTCTTTCCCTAGACCTAGTGCATTCAACCATCAATCACAGTTTGAGGAGGCACGTTTCCGCTGGGACGCGAGTCTGAAGACGACGAGGAAGAATTTTGAGGGGATGTTGAAGAGCGAGAAAGGTGATTGGGTGCAAGCGATCCGTGGAATCTTCGAAGTGAGCATTATTACTTAACCAGTGAAGTGGTCATAACTGACCAGCATCCAGATAATGGATGGACAGGAGCAGCGTATCCTTGCGCTTGTGAATGATGGTGGCATAGGCTGGGTAGAAGCAGCGGGTGTCTGGGGTGTCTGGGTTGACCCGTCAATGACGCGCTCTGACCTGACGTGAGGGACATTTACTCTGCTTGGAACAGGAGAGCTGAACCGCCGCATAGCAACAATGTGCTCGATCATATTCTGGAAGTTATGCCGCTGGATCCGACGGATAATGCTCAGGCACTGATGGCAGCTTTGATGGGCGGAGATTCTGTAAAGGTCCGCTATGCTGAACCATATCCCCCAGTACCCAGTCTAACTCGAATATAGGTTCTCTTCCTAGCGGCTGAGGCAAGCAGTTGGCTTGTCGCCCATCTGGTCGATATGTTCCAAAGAATGCAGTTCCTCGATGAAGCCTACCTTGAGTGAGTAATACGTTAACAAATATATGCACGTCACTGACCTATTCTGCAGAGGCGGAGAATCGCAAAACATCAGATCTTTCTACATCTTGGGCTACTGTGACCACCTCCTAGCAGACCCATCTATGTTTGAGATCGCCTTCGACTATGCGCGACACAGCGGCCCGGCAGGCCGAATATGGCTCGCAGACAACATCACAAGAATACCTCTCGGTCTGGGATCTGCCAAGGCACCTCCAGACGCCGAGGAGGAGGCTCAGCGTGCGGCGCCTGCAGAGGGAGACATGGATTTGGACGTAACCATTGGCGCGAAGCATGACTATGTCCTTCCCGGCGACTCCCACCAACTGGAAAAGCTCATCCGTGATTGCATAGCGAACAATTTGGAAGCGGAGCTACAGGATATATGCAAGGTACGCATATGGGTGCACTGCATCGTGTTATTGTGGCTTCTCACAAAAGAACACAGATTGCAAGTGAGACGTTTGTGCGTCAAAGACGATACGGATGGGCTGTTTCATACGCTATCAGAGCCCGTGATGTCCGGAGATTGCGTTGGATCGCTGAGCGGCTGTTGCAAGAATATGTCCGTCATGGTAGGCTTTCCCATGCTTCAAGGCCTAGATTGTGACTAACTTGAATTCAGGGGCGGTAACTTTCCTCCGACGCGCAAGCCAACTTCCCGACTACTTCCTCCTAGAAGGTAGCGAGGACGAAGTACCGATGCCTCCGGACCATGCGATCTTCGCCGCGCCCCTCACGTTCGTCTGTCGGTATTATCTCTTCCAGAGACTTTATTCGGAGAGCGAGTGGAGAGAAGCTTCTGAGTTGCTCGTGATGTTACTGAAGAGTCGTGTGGCTCCGAGAAACTGGTGGGGCGTCCTTTTATGGGATTCGCTCCCTTTCCTGCAGGGTAAGTTGGTTCTCCCCGGCCCCAGATCACCACTGATGTGCGTACCAGAGGGTGAAATACTAATTGACTACGACGATTCCCTCGAACTCCTCCGTTGTCTAGAGGAGATCCACACTGGCTCAGCGTATGGGGGTCCCGGAGATTACCTAGAAGCAATGGCCGGTATGCTGACAAAGGGCGAGGAGATTACCCCTGAAGAACGGAAGAGGGTGGAGAAGGAGGCATTGGATAAACTGAGTACGGTGCGTTTAGCCTTAGCACGGCAGATCGCACGTTGTTGTGTTATTTCTCGCTAGTTGAGGTGTATCGAAGCTCGTGTATCTTACAATGAGATATCTTTGTAAATGCCGATGATTGCAAAGTTTATGTTGCAGCATGAGGACGTGCACGGGAACAAGGTTCGTATCATGCAGCGTTGAAGTCCCTACTTTTTCCAGTCGCGTACAGAAGATTTGATATTGAAAATCACGTGAGGCAACGCGTGACCTCACGTGAAAGGCGCCCTATCCTTTCAATCTCTCTCCCCGTGCTCTCTCTCTTTCCACTCTCTTGCCTGTCTCCTTCTTCTGGCCTCTGCTTGTGCCCGCATATACCGAGCTAATTTAATATGGCCCCTCTTGATCCTCTCAACGCGAACCGACCTATCTCTCGTATCAATTCGTACAGCCGCTCCTGGGAAACGACATCCGCGACCACTGCGATCACCGCCAGCCAAGAACCTTACGATTGGCCCCCGTCACCCCCTAAGCCTGCTCGTGTGCTCACCGCACACGAAAGGCGTATGGCACTCATTCAGGAGGGTCTCTCTCAACACCGTGGTGAAGACGTTCAGAACCCACCGCCCGCCGTACTGAAGCGCGAGAACCCGTTCGAGCAGAAAGCACAAGCCAGTAAGAAGCCTCGAGTTCTTCCTTGGGAGATGGATCCGGGCAAGCTAAAGAAGAAAGTACCTGTGGCTGACGGGAGAGTTGTTCAGCCTGTGGAGCCTGAGAAAGAGCAGCAGCGTATTCTGCTCAGTAACGAGCAGTCGCACATTCTGCAGCTTGTGCTTCAGGGTCACAGCGTCTTCTTCACTGGTTCTGCTGGTACGTGTATTTCCTTCCTCTTTTTCTCTCTTCTAACAGCATACTAGGTACTGGAAAGTCTGTTCTATTACGCGAAATAATTAAGGGTCTTCGCAAGCTGCATCAGAAAGACGGGGACGCTCTCGCCATCACTGCTTCGACTGGCATCGCTGCCTGCAATATTGGGGGCACCACCCTGCATTCATTCGCCGGCATCGGATTGGGAGACGGATCGGTTGGGGACTTGATTAAAAACATAAGGAAGAATAAGAAAGCGAGCGCGCGCTGGCTCAGGACGAAAATATTGATCATCGATGAGAGTGCGCATATATGCTTCATTCATATTTCATTTGAACTCAAGCGTGCTGTAGTATCCATGGTTGATGGCAATCTGTTTGATAAGCTGGCCCAGATTGCTTGCACTATGAGGAAGAACCCGAAACCATTTGGAGGCATTCAGGTGTGATCCTCTACCATATGTGTGAAGCCTTTAATGGAAACAGCTTCCTAGATCATTGTCACCGGCGATTTCTTTCAGTTACCACCGGTCACCAAAGGCCAGGCGCGGTTTGCGTTTGAGGCAGAGAAATGGAGTGAATGTATATCTCGGACGTTTAACCTGACTCAAGTCTTCCGTCAGAAGGATCAAGGTAAGTCCATTCAGGAATACTTCATGCAGAGGAGCTCAGTGGCGGATAGAATTCGTTGATATGTTGAATGAGATGCGTCGGGGCCAACTTTCTCAGAAGTCAATTCAACGGTTCAAAGGACTCTCACGACCCATCTTTTATGAGGACGGCATTGAGCCGACGGAGCTGTACGTCACACAATTATTGATGTGATACTGCTGACTTTTCTAGCTTTCCCCATCGTGACGACGTGGATAGGTCGAATCGAACTCGCATGGACGCGCTGGCGGGTGAAACTCAAACTTTCTACGCATCTGATACCGGTACGATCACCGACGCGTCGAAACGAGAGAAAATGTTAGGCAACCTGTTGGCACCAGTCATTTTAAGCTTGAAAGTCGGATCGCAAGTCATGCTCATCAAGAACAAGACCGACGACAACTCGCTGGTCAACGGGAGCATGGGAAGAGTGCTTGGATTCCTGACACGGGTGGAATGGAGCATGCGGGGCTACGATTTCTGGGGTCAAGTGGATCCAGAAACTGAAGCAATGACACGCAAAAAAGCTGCTGGCAAAGAGACCGAGACCGCCCGCTTTCCCGTTGTTGAATTCAAAGTACCCGGATCCCCTATTGGCCGCCAGATTCTCGTTGAGACCGACACTTGGAAAGTCGAAGCCAACGGGGAAATCCAGGCGCAACGTGCGCAGGTAAGCGATCTGTAGAAGAACCTCGATGATTTATTGACCACTTGCTGCCAGATACCTCTTATTCTCGCATGGGCTATGTCCATTCACAAGTCACAAGGGCAAACTCTTGATCGTGTTAAGGTGGATCTCGGCCGCGCCTTCGAGATGGGTAGGCCTTCATTTTCCTCTTTCAAGTTATGAGCTCATGCAACATTCAGGCCAATCATATGTTGCGCTTTCTCGTGCTACTTCTTTAGAAGGCCTGCAGGTTCTTCGATTTGACGCCTCCAAGGTGAGTCCATCATACAAGCGACAGTAACACACCTAACTTTGTTATAGGTTAAAGCACATCCACGTGTGGTCGCATGGAGCAAGACCCTCGAGTCTCTTCGCACTGGTTCATAGTACATACACGAGATGACGCAAGTCATGGGACACATAGGCCTCCTGTATTATACCAGCATCATTCAGGCTGTAATATAATGACATACCGTTGTGAGACAATGATTGGTTGAGTAGTTCAGTCACAAGACGATTGCAGTATCATGGCGGTATGTGTAGCCTAACCTCGACCCTCAGGATGCTCTTCGACTAATCCCTTTGAAATGGGATGACGAGTGTTTCGAGTGGTTAGTTGCTCGTTGTATATAAGTTGGCCATTCAAAAGCGAAAAAGGTGAAGCAAAGGAAGCATGTCTCCTTTCACGTGAGTGAGAACGTGACGTTCAATTCTAGCGCTTCGTGCCGCAGTCGTTGGGGTACTGCCCACTCACGCTTTTCCACTGTACATTATAATAAAATGGCTAGCAACAACGGCCATGCAATATCCCTACCATCTCCTATACCCGAAGAGCACTCAGAGGCTGGCTCGCCATCCGATCCTACGCATCCGTTTGCCAACGCGCACGGCTTGTTGCAGGTCGATCCACGAATCGATGTCGAAGAGGAAGATCAGTTCTGGGAGGACTTTCCTAGCGAGGTTCGCTATTGTATCAAGGGGTTCCCGACTAAGAACTTATGCTGTTACACAGGACGAGTTCTTTGACCCTCAACTACCATCCTCCAACCGCTCGACCCGGTCACGCTCCACAATCGCCTCCCTACACCTGCTCGACAACTCCCAAGAAGACACGGGCAGTTTCACACGTAACGTCAGCATACCCGGATGGTCTTTTGTTGGAGATACATTGGGTGGTGCGTACGTAGTGTACGATTGTGCCATCCAGACGAAGGAGGTGAGTGTGCTGGCTTTGTACTGGGAAGGCACTTATACAAAGTTAGGGAACGACGATACATGTTCTGAAGCGATATAGCGCCTTCCTGAATCTAGAACAGGAGCTGGAGAAGGCATTCCCAGTGAGGCCTATTCGTCTAACTTGGCACCGCCGTGTCGGTCTAATCCAAATCAGGATCTGAAAGGTGTCCTACCCGCGTTCCCGCCAAAGAACACTTTTGCCAAGTATCGCCCAGCATTCCTAGAGAAACGCCGACGGCGACTCCAATCGTGGCTCGCTGCTGTTCTCCTGCATCCCACTCTCGGCGGTTTACCACAAGTGCGGCAATGGGTGACCGAGTAGTCTCGCCTGGGACGGCACCCCGCGAACGAAAGAGGAAAACGAGTGAGGTGCAAGGTTTTGCATTTTGGAGATATTACTCTGGGTCTATTTTACACTCTTATTGTCCATCTCCTCCTTGCTTGTCGAGTCCGGAGTGATCACCAAAACGTCCACGACGTTGGGCGACTGTTCATTCGCCGGTACCGAGGTGGGCGGTTCCGGGGTAGGGATGGTTGGTGGAGGGGCGTTCTCCAGCACGGGATCGATCCAATTCGGCGCAAGGTCGTCGCCCAGTGCGATCTGGGTGCTGATCTCCTTCAAGTTCTCCAGTGCGTTCTCCGCCTCCTGCTTCAGCCTCTCCATTGCCGACTCGGCATCGTCCTTCCAAGCCAGCTGCGCGACGGCTTCCCGGCTCACCTCCCTCCAGCTCTTCCCTTCCTTGCGCAACAGCTCCGTCAGTTCGTCCTTAATTTCCCTTGGTGTGCCGACACCGTCGTATCCAAAGGCGGTGTATAGTTGGATAGTGGCCGCGCCGAGTTTGGCGTACTCGAGTGCGTCTGCGCCAGAGGAAATGCCGCCGCAGGCGATGAGTGGGATGGATGCGGGAAGGAGAGAGCGGAGGGTCTTGAACGCTTCTATCGTTATAGGCTTCAGCGGTTGGCCGGATAGACCACCAGTCTCCTGGACGAGAGTTTGTGCTGTTTTTCTGATGAATGTGTATCTTTTGTGTATAATAAACACGTACGAGATTTCAGACCATCCGGTCGCTGCACAGTCGTATTCCCCATGATGACCCCATCGACCTTGGTCGCTCTCACAGCAGCAGCGACATCCTCAATCTCCGCCTTTGTCAGATCCGGCGCAAGCTTCACCACCACCCTCGGTTTCTCCCCCATCAAAGGCAGTGCATCCCGTTCCCTCACCACCTCTGACAGGAGCTCTTCCAGCATCCCCCGGGCTTGCAAGCTCCTCAATCCGGGCGTATTAGGACTGCTAACATTGACGACCAGCACATCCGCCACTGAGCCAAACGCCCTCACACCCATAAGGTAATCGTCGATACTGTCCGGGCTCGAGCTCTTGTTCTTCCCCAAGTTCACGGCTAGCACTCTCCCCTGCCGCTGAGCGTGGTTCGCCACCTCGGGCCAGTTGCGTAGACGCGTCCGTAGGCGGAGCAGCACGAGCGCGTGCCCGGCGCTGTTGAACCCGTACCGATTTATGATGGCTCGGTCGGCGGGGAGGCGAAAGAATCGCGGTTGGGGGTTGCCAGGTTGAGGCTCGGGGGTGACGGAGCCCACTTCCACGTACCCAAAGCCGAGGTCGTAGAGTCCTGAAGCGAGTGAGCGGAGAACGGACAAGCACGGAATGAGCGTACCATCTACTGCTTCGGCATCTTTGTCCAGGCCGGCTGCGATCCCGAGTGGGTTGGAGAGAGGGAGGTCCCACAGCTGCAAACGCTGAGTTTGTCGACGTAAGTGGTTGAAGGATACACACCTCACACTCCAGCAGCTCGTCATCCTGCTTCACATCCCTCGGCATCAACCCCGTAGCAAGCATCTTAACCGCCAACTTGTGTGCCGTCTCCCCGTCCACGCATGCCCTTACCAGCGGCATAGCGACATACTTGTGTACCGCAGCGCGAGAGTCGACATAGTACGCTGCGAAGACACCCGCGCCGGCGAGGAGAAGGGTACCGTAGACGTATGAGAGGGGGGACGAGGAGGAGCAGGCGGTGGTGTTTGCTGAGCGTACGTGGATGTGGGAGGAGAGGAGAGGACGGCGGAGGGCTGCTCGTAGCATTGTGCGTTGTTGGACCAGACTGGAATGAAGGAACGCAACAACTTGCACTGAAAGATGTTGCTTCCGTTTATTGCTCCTGGACGACAACGGACATCTTACTTGGACTTGCAGTTATTCACCAAACTATGACAAGAAATTGACAGCAAAACAACCTAGGAGCTCTTGCACTATGATTTCTAACAGGGGCAGCTCTGTCTGTCTACGCGTGCTCCCGGCCTGACTGTTCTCAACATCTACGGTCCACCCTGTCACGCTCCGCATATATGCTCCTCTGAAGAAGTCTGGGCAATCATGCACCGCCAATCTTGCTATGTACTTTGACGCTTCTTAACTAGACGACCTGTCCCAGGAATGGTGTCCTTCCCGCCACATTCTCAATCATACCTTCAAACTCTGCGAAGTCGCTATACCCGCATACATGCAGACAACCGGGAATACGCATATTCAACAACCGCCCTATTCGGGCATATCACAACAATACATTGAACGCACTGCTTCACATGGTCTGTTTCGACCCTCCTGGCTGCGCAAATGATAAACTGTCAACATTTATTTCCCGGCCGCAGGGTCCTGACTCTGTTTCCAGCAGCCATGAACTCAAGTACGATGGTCGCCGCAGTAGCTCTGGTCATCTCTATTCTGTTCCAAGTCCACAGGGGACGCAAAAGCGTGTGCTGCGTTGATTGACTTTGATATGATGTCTACTTGCGACTGTTGATAGAACTGTGCGCAGCGGTGGTGCAAACCCGGCTTCTGACATCTCTGCCATATTCGGCAAAACGCTGTCGTCCTTCCCGGACGTCGTTCCGCTGTCATCTCGGAAAAAGAGGGAATCTCGTTTGGAACATAGGACCGTCCCGTCTGCTCACGAAGTCCAGTGTCAGTGGAATCCAATCAAGAGGACCCTGACGAGGGGAAATGATGTCCAAACTAGTCTTCGATCCCCTTCATTGGAGTATCTCAACCTCGGTCCCGACAAAAGCCCCGAAGCAATTCCAAAGAAGCCCAAAACAGAAAACAGAACTGAACCCTACCCGATCACCAACGTGGCCACGTCCTTAATTGTTCTTTGTCTTCGTCGCTGAGGAGGCGGGCCGAAGGCTGGCGTGGCTCTGTTAGAGTTCATGTTGCAGCTTCGGATGATGTGTGGTATGTGAGACACTCTCGGTGGACACTAGCCGTCGTTGTACTGTTGATGCTGACGCTAGCTTGTACTAATTATGTTTACACAGTCAAATATTGCAAGTTATAAAGATGCTAACGCCGACAGAGAGTGGAGGACCAACTGATGGCAAAACAGATCAGACCCTCAAAATCGGACCCTCGTTCGGTGGTTCCGGCGGTGGGGACATGTGTCACAAGGGTCCTCCTCGGAGTTTAGCCCACCAGGGAAACGGCGGTTTTGTTGTTGTATACGCACGATGGGGATGCACCGCCCTGCCCATTTCGAATTCTGATATGGGTCTGACGGATGTGTATCCTACATCAGCCCCGAATGACAAAAGACAGCCCCGCGAACGTCAGCCCGATTACCCCATCGCTGGCTTTGGCGGCAAGGTCGCCACGTCCTTCAGGGTCCGTCGGGTTTACCAGCTTACCACACCATACATCAGCCGGTTATTGTGGTGACGCATGACTCAAGTCGGCGCTGCTTACCCCGTGCGGGAGATGGGAACCGCGGCACTGCCATGGTTTGGTTGCAAGATGCTGGTTGCAAGCAGGGTTGCATGGGTAGGGTCGGCCACATACTCGGCGGGCCGTTGTACGGCCCCGAAGGAATGAATCCTATACCGCATGTTTGCCATATTATGTATATTTTCAGATGACACTGGTTTGAGCTGTTTGGATCGGAGGGGATTTGGTGGGACAGCGTGGATCTGTCAGCGGGGGGAATGTTGTGGGCGTCTGGGAGGAGAGAGGGTATTTGAAGGCGGGATGCGTTTGTCCGTAACCCCCCGTTCGTCCGTGGACATCCATGACGAGGGAGTGGAGTGGGTATGTAAGGGGAATCAGGGAAGTGTTGTGACTTGTTGTTCCCCTTGATTAGCCACTCCACCTGCATTGATTCCTGCCTTTTTGTTATAATTCCTCGGTGTATCTAGCGAGAAGCATTGATCCAACTCATTGAAGAAGGCAACGTGAATGATATGCGGACAATAATACCCCGGAGAGCGCGGTCCTGCGGCTTGCGACCCGCAAGGGGCGGCTGGCGGGGGGCCCTTGCTTGGGGGTGGTTGGCCCGAGGTCCCTGGATATAAGACCCTGATTCGCGCCTCCCCTGTCTGCTCCCTTTTCCCTCCCTTCCTTTCTTCCCCGCGTCCATCCACCTCCTTGCTGTGTCCTCCTCGACCTCATCATCCTACTTGCTTGGGCCCATCCAGCTCACCGTATAGACTATTACGCGCTTGCTGCGTAACACTGACTTGGCACCACCCAACTAGTGCATGTCGCCTTCCCCATTTCTTACTCGATCCGCATCCGGACAACAGGTCTCCCTACTCAACGACGTCGACATCAGCCCAATGGATATCGCTCACCCAGCTTCGAACTTGTCCACTCCCACGTCAGCACAGCGCGCTTCTCGTGCGGGAAAGAAAGAGTATAGGTGCAGAGAGTGCAGTCGCACTTTTACAACTTCTGGTCACTTGTCCCGCCACACTCGGGTCCACACAGGCGAACGCAACCATGTCTGCCCATTCCCGGATTGCAATAAGAGCTGCAGCAGACAAGATAACCTTCTCCAGCAGTGAGCATTTTTTTCGCTTCGTGAGAGCGTGGATGGCATTGCTGACTCATCGTAGCTATCGTATGCACCTGCCTAAGTCAGAGCATCCCTACCCGACGACCGAAGTAAGGCAAGCACTTGAAGATATGTTCAGGCAGCAAGGTATCGAGCGTACATCCGCACCGCCACCCCCAGCACGTCCCTCGCCGCCATCACGCTCTCCCCCGGCGCCGAAGGTCGTCCAGCCACCCCCTCAGCGGCCCCAGTCGTACCCGTCCCCACCTCCCCATCTGCCGCCACCGCCCATGCAACACCCGCTGCCTCCTCCACCTCCAGGTATCTATCCCCCAGGATTCATGATTCATGGCTCCCCGTCGTATGATCACCATGAGATGCATGCGCACCCGCATGACCGCCTTTCTCCGGGTTCACCTTCCTCGCCAGCGCACTCGGATTCCCCGAGCACCCCGGAGTTCCCAATCGATCCCCAGCTCTTGCAGCCGCATCCCAAACCGGCAGGAAACTCAAATCCTCAGACACCGGCGTCACCACCGCCCGTCACCATGTCGCCGTTTGGACCTCCGCCCCAGCGGCGTGGGTACGAGGTGTCATACATGCGAGGCGAGCATTAGCGCAAGGTGCGACTACAGCGCACGCTGACTGCGTCTTACTAATCAGATATAAACGCCCAGGGCTCATCTTAGCATGGCCTGAGCGTGTAAGGTCCATCATCGTCCCGAACGAAACTCACTGGCAGCAGTGAATTCGGTCACGGCATGGCACGCATGCTCCGTCGTCTCGCCATTGTATTCTATAGAACCGTCCAAGCGCCGGCGATGTATCCGTCCGTTTCTCATGCTACGCTTTCGTGAACTGTGTATCGGAGTGCTTCGGTCGCTCCCCTCCGTTTGCTAGTAACTTTTTAATCAATTGGGCTGAGGGACACTTTCTAAGGGTGATGATGGATGCTTTGTCAGCTGGAAGCCAGCATGGCAACGGTCCGTTCCTGGCAGACCAAGTCATCGGCTGCAATCATGTATTGCTGATGAGTAGATTACAGCGACCATGGGTTTGCATGGAACGGGTGCATTGAACAATGAATGATGGGGCCCGGGCAGGGTGTGTGGGATCCACCAGCGCAGTTCGGCCACCTCTGAATGCCACGGGAGTATGAGGCAGGTAGGCTGTGCAACGAGGGGGAAGAAGGGGAAGAGAAGCAGGGTCCTCTCGGGGCCCATTCCCATCCTTCTCCTGCTCGTGTTTACCGGCCACGCTCCCTCAGGGTCTAAAGGCCCCTTAGCACCCTCATCCACATCCTGCCATCTTCAGGCTGTTGTTCTCTCACTTCTCGCGGCCGGCCCCGTTCCCTTCGCACCTCATTGAACATCATCAGACTAGGTAATTAGCCCGCCCTGCCGTAGGTTCGGGATGTCGGCACGCACCCACCTACGTTCGTAGGGGTGGGCCGAAGAGGGAAGCCCCCCGCTAGCAATCATTCGTGTCTCATCGGAGACGCACGAGTGTCCGGCCGCCTATTCCCACCGGCCGCCCGACTGTTCTATAACGAGCTATAGCGTGTCATAGGACCTGACTTGAACCCTTCCCTCCCTTTCTCTCCCGGAAGCGCGGATCAGTGACGGTGAGACGTGGGTGGTGCGGCGTGTTTGGCCGCTCCCTTCGTGGGTTCCATTTTGGGTATAACGCTGATCGACCCGAATTTTGAGTTTGGGTTCATTGAATGTCTCTTTGTCGTTTCTAGTCCGAAATGGTTAATGAGTCCGAGATGACGCAGCACAGATCTGAGCCCCTCCCCGGTGCGTGCGCAGGCTCAGGCCGAATTGCAAATGTCGATTAGGTTTCAGGGTCTGTTATTTTGGAAAGGGTAGGTGTGATTAGTAAGCGGGCGTAACGCTGGCTGCGTCATGCTGTTCAACGACCGGCAGATTTTAGCTCTGGACCCACCCAGCTTTGGCCTTTCTCGGCACGCAGGGGTGAGGGGGGGCCGGAGCAAGGGTCCTTCTCCTTTCTTCTTCCCCTTCTTGGCCATAGTACATGGACCCTATACACCCGCACCCATCTTCCTACAGCCTCCTTTCACCTCCTCTCTCAGGGCAGCAGGGGCACTGCGCAGCGAGTTGTGCTGGTTGAGCAATATCTGACCACCACATAATCAGGAACTCTCATCCCTGCGGTAGAAGATGACACGCTCTACGGGTTCATGATCATCTACTAGAATGGCGAAATGATCTCTCTCCTTCGCCGAGGAGGCGGGGAGAAATGGCTGCACCGCATCAGGATCATGCGGCGGGATCCCTAATTCAGATCGAGCGGTCAGCCTGACACTTCCGGCGGTTCCCATTCAACGTGATTTGAATGGCGCGTGGATGGTACTTGGCCCTATTATGCCGCGCGCCTGGGCGGTCGAAACGGTAATCCCACGCACAAAGGCTTGGCGCCTGGAGAATGGGCCGAGTGGGGAGATTGTTTCGCCCGTTCGAAGCGCAGACATCTGAACAGTCAGATGAGGTACAGACCGGGCTGGCCATATGTGTCGCAGAGCGCACGAACCCTGCAGGGAACAGGGTCTTGTGTACTATGGCCGGGCCATGAAAGGGGGAATGAACCCGCGGGAGGAGGACAGGTGTGTGTTGTCCTCTGTTGACCCTTAACAATGCTCACAGCCTACTTATTCAGCCCCTCTGTAGAGCCGCCTCCTACCCTCTCTCTCCCTCTTCTTTCTCACCCCCTCCATATCATCCTCCCATTCAACACCGCTTTACGTCGACGTCGGCGAGGTGTGTCCCCGACTGATATCATTATCTGTCATTAACCACCGACAAATCCCTGGCTGTGCTTTCCCGTGCCGCTCCGACCCTGAACATCGGCTTCTCTAAACGACCTCATCCCTGTGTCTCCGCTCTCTCGGGCAACATAACATCATCTGCCGGTCCCCTCTCCGCATATATGACCCCTCATCCTCCCTCCCTCAATCTTCCCCCTTGCTGTGCTTGACCAATGTCTTTCTCCATCCACTCTGCCTCGGGGAGGCGTGTCGACCTTCTCAACCCAGTCGACGTACACCCGCACGAGATGATCCGCAGTCGTATGTCAGAAAGCATGTCTCCACCTTCTGCACACGCGGTCGTGCACGACGACTCGGTTTCCCCGACGTCTGCTTCTCTCTCCCCCCTGAACTCGTCCATGCATCCTCTCGAGCCTACCTCGGGGAAGCGTATCTACCGCTGCCAGGAATGCCAGAAGGTCTTCTCCACGTCCGGTGCGCATATATGCACCCGTACCCTTCTTATCTAACTCTGTGCAGGCCATCTCACAAGGCACTCCAAGGTACACACTGGGGAGAAGAACCATATTTGCCCCTATCCCGACTGCCAGCGTCGCTGCTCGCGGAGGGACAACCTTCTCCAACAGTGAGTCACCTTTCGCCCTTTTAGTGCACCGTCTAAACCACTCCTTTCGCAGCTATACGATGCACCTGACCAAGGAGGAGCGCGACTTGCCCACGACTTACGTTCGTGAAGCACTCTCGGCTATGCAAGCGCGTATGGGAACATACGTCCACCCGTACCCGCGAGGTGCCACTGCCGCTGGGCCGCCTCCCCAACTACCGCCAATGCGCGTCGAACGCAGCCTACAACAGCATGTGTACCCCATCCCCACGTCGTACCCGACCCATCGGTACCCCGAGCATGTAGCCTATGCTCGTCATGAGCATCATACTCAGCGTCCAGTGCTGCTCACTTCCAGCCCTTCCCCTGTCAAGCGCCCACTTGAGCTCGATATGGACGACGATATGCGCCGTCCCCCCAGCATGCGCCGCACTTCCTCGTCTTCCAGCGGCTCGACCAGGGAGCCGATCACCCCGCCAATGCCTGGTGCACCGCGCATGAACATGACCAAGAAGGAATACCTCCCCCAGATGCCCGAAGAACGCAGGTTCCAAGTGTCTTCTGTGCGCGGCACGCTGTAACACGCATACAAGGATCGCTCGCTGGACTCAAGCACGTACATATCGCAACATAAGTGTTTTCAACCAAGCACAGTCACCAAATGGGCTGTTGTGTCTTTCTCTTCTGTCGTCCCGTGTATTCTATGTATCATCGCTGAAGATACGTGTATCAGTTTAAATATTTCGATTTCTGCCGAGAAATGCCCGTACTTTCAACCTCCGTTTCTGGGAAACGTTGTATTCTTCGTCTTTACAATCCTCTAGTACTAGTGTTAGAGACAAATTCTGTTGCAGTGCCCATACATAGGCAGAAATGAATACGCATTTCCTTTCACACTCAGATCAGTATCCTCGGTGACCACTGCCCGCGCGCATCATTCACCTTGCCCCACCTTCTGTTCGTTCTGTACAGCAGAGCTTCCCCGACCCTGCTGAGTCACTTGCAACCGATCAGACCCTGCCCCACCTTGGCAGACAATCACACGCAGGGGTCCAGGGCCGATCGTCAATCCGTCCACATTACCATATTCAGCCTTCGACTCGTGAGCCACAGGCCGGACCTTCTCGGGGGTCGTTTTCCGGCCCTCTCAACCACACATTACTCGGCCCGGCAACCCCCAAGCCCAGGCCGAGGCCCAACGCCTTCCCACGTTCGTCCATTTCGGGCAAGTTCTCCCCAAGCCCGGACTCACCCGCCCGTCCCGTGCGCATCGGGCGGAAAGGGTGCAAGCCAGGGCAGCCAGGGTCTGGGCGATCTCTTTAAAGAACCGATCGGCTTCGGCCCACAGTCGTCGGCATACGACCGACACAGGGCAGACCAGTGACGCACACCCAAGAGTCAGCGGACCGCCTACCCTTGAACGAGTATGTGTACGAAGACTGATAAGGATGGATCGGATGACTGTCCTTGCGGTTGGGGTTCCCACTGTGGAACAAGACCCGAGTGCTGTGCCCTTTGACATTCGTATTTGTCCGCGGGCGCGTTGACAGGTCGACCGGCTTTGTATCTATGTCCAGTTCTTGATAGACTTGTCAGCTATAGGATATGATGTAATGCTGTGGTAGCGGCTTGTGGATAACTCCCAGTGTCTCGAGATGAGTTCTCTCGGATCTGTTTTGATCAAGTCGAATCAAATCAGAGAGTCGGGCAGTGCTCGTCTTGTTTTCTCAATCGTGAGCATCATATCATATCATCATGAAGTGAGACATTGATTCACTCGGGAATGTCTAGGCAACATATACACTGGGACATGACGCATTACTCACCGCGCTAACTTGTCCAACGCACCTGATAGACTTGATAACCGGTTCTCACTCAGCGACGACTCGTGGTTCGCGCGAGATCGCTCTTGGCACACTAGTTCCAGAGTTGTACGGCAGAATAGCAAGACTTCTCAGCGTGACCAGAGTCTTGTCTGTATCACGCGTTCGCTGGTGTTGGAACAATTCCTTTATGCGGTAAGCTACTGAACGAGATACGGACACTAGCGAAGCGGAAAACTTTCCGTGTTCGTTCGTCTGGCTCGACGGTCGGAGCGGATCTTTCATGGTCGCACCTCCATGCAGCCCCAAGTATGGGCTCGAAAAGCCGCAGATATTGGAAGCATCGCAATGAACGTGTTACATTGCCGCACATTGAGGACAGTCTTCCGCCCTCACTGCCGCTGTTGTCGGTAGAAGCATTCTTCGGTAGAGCCGACGTATCTTCCGCACCACATGAAACTGGAATGCACAATACCCAGAATACCACTGTGGCCAGCCTCCCTGTTCAGACGTGTGAGACCAGAGCTCACGCAAATGACGAAAATTGAGGTTGTCGAGACCTCGTACGAGCTTTCTAAATTAAGGTATGGTGGGTGATCGAAGTTGAAGGAACTGAGGCAGCGTTCTTTCAAGTCCAGGCCCGGGCAGCAGACTCTCGAACGCGTGCCGCCAACGGTTCCCCATTCATGAGGCGAAGCTCTGCGTTCCTACGTTGCAGGAGCTCCAACTCATGATCAACGCGGCGCACACCTCCTCCCCCCGCCATTTGCCACTCGCTATTTTCAAGACCCCACACGTGCCTCCCTCGATGCTGCCTACCACCAAGTCATGCAGCTTGCCGGTATCCCGATCCCCATGCCTCTTCCACCCGACGGCGATACAGGCGAAGTTGACGATATGGCCAATCCGAACACCGCCTCAGAGGATGAGGAAGATGATGATGAGCCATTGCTGTTCGCTGAGTAAGAAGTAGCCAGGTTTGATGAAACACTGAAACGAATACGCCATCTCCATGAATGGGACCGTATGGGCACGATATGTATCCTGACTTCAGCGACGACGGACCTCCTCAGATGGAGGTAAACCTTGCTCCATCTGGTTGGATATTCCCATCCTGCACAATACATCGTTTATTAGATATGTTAATGCATGGGGTGTCATTACTAAATCATACAACAACTCAAGACCAGTCATTAGAAACAACAATCGTAGTCAAATGGGCAGAGCGGCGTATCTGCACTAAATAAGCATCGAACCTCCAGCGAAAAAGAAAAGTACCCACCACCTCCCTCTTTGCCAATCCCCAGCTCGTCCTCCTTATAGACGTTCCACCCCTCCTCCGTCTTCCGTCTCGGCTCGTTTCCCCTCGAGTCCCTAAACGCGCGTTCCTCCTCATCCAGCTCCGGCTTTTTTCGAGGTTTGGACTTCGTTGTCAGGGATGCGTTGGTGAGGGGATTGGAAGAGAATTTGGGTTTCTTGGAGAGTCGAGGGAGGGAGGGGTCAACGATCGTTTCGGCGGGCCGTTTTAGAGGCTTGGGTTCCGGATTTGGTGTTGTATCAGTCACGACATCTTTGGATGCTTGTTCACTTCCTGCCTTAGCCTCTTCGGCCTTCTTCTGTTTCTTCTTTTTCTTCAGGCCATTGGCAGGACTGGAGGCGGCCGCGAGCCTCGCTGGCTTGCTTGTGCTTGTTCCGGAGGGTGCACATGGAGATTCTCTGTGGCAGTGTCTCCACGCAACAGAGAAAAGAGTTGCTCCCTGCCAGGATCGAACATTCATGTTGCTGTGTTGCGCCATCCCTTAGCACCAACTTGCAGCACCTCGGGGAGAGTCAGATCAAGTTATAGTGTCACGAACAGTTTTATGTCTCAGCTTCCTTGGTGTAGTTGGTTTATCTCGTCGGTCTCATAACCCGGTTTATGACCC